ATTCCCCATTTTGGGTGAAGGCTTGGTGTTGTCAAGTCTTACAATAGATGGCCTTTCTGTGCCTTCTTCAATACACTTCAGCCCGAATTTTCATCACTTTTTTCTTTTGTGGCTGTGCTTAACTGATATTTGGTGGTTCTGAGAACGGGGGTTGCAAGATAGGTTTGAATTCCAGTACCTGTGAAGGTGGGTGTACCGGAATTTGCATTGGGAGGTCCATAGAGGGTGAAATGAGTGGGGAAGTGTCGTAAATCACATTAGAGCAACATTGGGTATATATTGGAGGTGTTCATCATGAGGACATGGCTGCAGATGCCCTTGATTATTCCAACCTGGCACATCATATCTTGGTCGCGTCTCGTCTTAGTGCTCTCACATGACTCAACCGTGGGAATAAAGGGCATCAATTTTTTACTACGGTTTGATGGGCGCGATTGAATGCAGACTATATGTTTTGTACTCATGAGTGAATTTTTGGTGAATTTGCTCATACTGTGGTACGTGGGAAGCAACATCTCAAATTGGAAGCTCATGTGATTCCCCGAGTCTCTGGGAGGGTTGTGTCAGTCGTGAACGATTGAATTTGAATGGGAACTGAATACTGTGGTTCTCCCAATTCTAGAAAGGTCGGAAAATTCCTGTATATGGGTAGCATTTACTGTAAATGGATATCGGAGTTGAAATATCGATCAGTAACACGTGCTAACATTCTGCGGCGATTGAAATTGTGTCTGACAATATGGTGGAAGGTTCGAGAGCTTTCTTTGTGCCGCTGCTCGAGATTCATGTCTTCGATGAACTTTAACGTCACATCCGGCGTTGTCAAATTATTTCCAATGTAATAAGAGATCTCAATGTTTAGTTAAATAGCATTACCACACTCGAGTCATTCAAAAGGATAGATGAGAATAATATACATGAGAAAAAATCGACTCCCAATGTCCAACTACAGCTCATCAGATTTGTTATGCAGTAGATCACTTGCTGCGGCTGGGGAAAGAGAGTGAGGCTGCGGTTGCATCAAAGCGTGAAGAGGACAAGAGGTATTGGGGAGGAGGACAGACTGTGGTATCTTCTGAAGGTCGTCTAACCAAAAGTAGACAGGCGCCCCTTCTTCGCCATGGGAATACGGATCTGATTAGAGGGCATGAGATTGATTACAAGCGGGGAGGGAACGCGAGAGTGGCGTTGCCCTTGAGGATTATTTTAGAAGGTGCGATAAGGGGTGGGGAGAGATGGATGAGTTTGGAGAGACGATGCCGTTGGTTCGAAAACTAACCGGAATACATGTCATGCCTTGAAAAGCATAATGTCCCATTTCCCGGAACACACCGAACAAGCATATGCGGTTTGAGTTGTTGCGGTTTGGTATGGTTGAGGGAAGACGATGATGTGCCGTTGTCGAATCTCGGAATGCAGCGAAGGAGTGGATGCCGGTCCTCCGGACAGTACAGTAGGAAGTGTTGTGTCGAATCTCGGGAGGTAGCAAAAAAATGGATGGTCCTTCAGACGGTATGGGTGGATGTGGCGTAAAAGATATCGTTTTTCCTCCTGTCAAGGGCAGTGCTTGCAATGCTGTTGGTGCAGCAGATACTGGAAATGTTTAAGCAAATACAGGCAATAAACGTGAAAGGAAAGTTAGCGCATCTGGGTTTTTCATTGCAAACAAGAGGGAGGTTATATTGATGTCCGTTATTGGGTTTGGTTGTAGTTGGAGTGGAAAGACGGGGCGTGTTTCTAAAGAAAGGGTGGTAGATGTTGCGCAACGATTGGCGAAAACCACGGGGCGTTGGTACGAAAGCAATGAAAGATTTAACCTTCAAGACGGTTGGATGGGTTAGTGTATCAGAGATTGCGATTGCAGAAATTCTTGAACAGAACATATCGACTGCAAAGTACTCAGTTGGAATATCGGAGTGTGAAATATTGATCAATGACGTGGTTTGATTCATCAGCAACTGAAAATCTGGCTTGTCTGAAAATTTTGCCGCCCTTTCTCATTCTCTGCTGTTCTGTTCGTGTTATTGCACGTAAAACTATTGTGCATTAGCACTTTAAACTGTTGTGCCCTAGCACATAAAACTATTGACGTTGTATCTGCTATCGGATTGAAGATGAACATCAGTGTCCACCCCATGATACCGAAATTGATATCAGTTCCTACTCTGACCATTTTGATGCATTGTATTATCCTGAATATCATGATGATACATTTAATTCAGAGATGTTAATCTGTCAATGGTTGTGTGATATATTTAAAACAGAATATGAAGTTCAGCATAAAAGTTATATGTTTGCGACTACAAGAATGAATGATGGCTTTCTTATATATAATATTTCTGTTGATTCTTTTTTGTGGTTATCAGATCTTAATATATGCTCTTCATTATTCCATCCTCGAAACTATTTGGTGAAATTCTCAAAAGCAGAAAAAGCTTCTTATAATAATCCATTGTGGTTTTCATTTGAAAAGTCTCACTATCTTGCATCTTTAAGCCTTATTTCATGGCAAGAACTACAAGATTTCTTTGCAAGCAAAAAATTTCAATCACGTCATAAAAGAAAATTGGACTTTTGTGAAATTCTAGTGGATGAATTCTTCAAGGTTATTCATTCTATTGAAGAACTGTCTGATGAAGAACTATGTAAAATACTGAATATAAAAGTAGGATTTGCTAATAGAAACAAAATGATGTATGAACATCTAAAATTGATTTTCAACAAGAATATTTTAGAAGCCTTTATGATTCCTCCTAATCACATAGAACAAAAGAGTTACTGTCCTTATAAATATCATTTAAGTAAATATATGCAACACTCAGACAGTGATTTCTATGCAAATCTAAGGTCACTTGGGGATAAAAAGGTTAGAGAAGTATATAAATCGCTCCATCCTTGTCATAAATATTCGGAATCTTTAAAATTCTTTGGAAATAATGTTTATCTAGCTCTCAAACAAAGTTTAGAAAGTTGTTATTATAATATCCAGTTTATGAATCGTTCAGATCTTGAGTTAGTACCTGACTGTTATCAGATTCCATATCATGAATCTCAATCAGATTATGATCTTGTACTTCGAATATTAAAGCATGAATATACTGTTGATGTTATCCAGAGATTATCTGTATACAATTCTATAGACCGTCAATCTCTCAAAAATAAAGCAATGCGTGCATCAAAACAAATTACAACATTTGCAGATAGTATTCAAAGTGATGTTGTTATAAAAGAGAATTGGCCCATTTTAACAGATATTGATACTATTGAAATTTGTACAAGTAGATATATGAATGCAACAAATTTTGTTGAACCCAGAGTATGCTGCTGTTGTACGCGTAAACGATTTAATGAAGAAACATTTTGTTTTAAATTAGATGAAAATCCAGATATAAAAGATACTCTTCATTTAGATATGGTTACTGTATCAAAAGAAGAATGGGCTCCCTTTTTCTCTCACTCTAATAGTTTATTAGATAATTTAATGTTATCTGCAAAAGGTTTTGATTTTACAGATAACAGAGAAATTTGTGCAATTATATTGTGCCGAGAATGTACATTTGATTTAAAGGCTAATAGACTTCCAAAATTTTCTCTTGCTAATAATCTTTATTGTGGGGAACTTCCAGAGCAATTCCAAGATATGACTTGGGTTGAAGAGATGACTTGTGCCATCTACCGAGGAACTGCATATGTTACACGTCTCTATGAATCTCCTGATCCAAGTCAGCCATGGGTATTTAGAGGAAATACATGTGCCCATGATGTTAATGTAATTTCTACTGCATCGGTTTTACCATTAACTCCTGATGCAGTTAATGATTTATTATCTGTTATTTTCATTGGTCCTGGAAAATACTCAAAAGAATGTTTAAAACAAGTTTTTCATGTACGAAAGCATAAAATTTGGGCATTTCTTGTATGGTTGAAGAAATATAATCCACTTTATAAAGAAATACCATTATCAATAGAGAATCTAAATATGTATCCTGATGGAGATGTAATGCCTGAAATAGAGAAAAGGGTTATTTATGAAAAAAGACATTAATATACAAAGATTAATTGCAGAAGAGACAGCAGGAATTACTGAGCATCCTGCTTTGCAAGTTTTTGAAACTAAGAATGAAAATGATGTTACAGTGTTCTTGGAGAAACTTGGTGTTACTGATCCAGAACAAGTCAAAATTACAGGACGTTCATTTACAGCAAATGCTTTAAGAAATATTATCCAAGATCCTTCTGATAGACCTGATTTAATAATTCATAGAGGACTTCCAGCAATATGCGAGTACCACAATCCAATATTATTTCCTGGAATGTACCCAACTTTATTTCCTTTTGGATTTGGAGGTTTTGAAGATCCATCACGTCCAAGGAAAATCAGCTTCCAGTTACAAGCAAATTATTTTCTTGATTTAGAGGATAGATGTTTTAGATACCATCATTCATTTATCTTTGTTGCATTGAATATAATACAAAGACGAGCTGCACAGCTTCAAACATCTATTTCAATAGCAAATCCAAAGTTTCAAAAAATTGCTCATGAATTAACAACTATTTCGCCACATGAAATAGTAACAGTTGCAAACCATCTTGAGAAAGAAGGTAATTTATCAGATCTTACTGATGATCAACAGAAGGTTATGAATGTTATAAAAGAGATAAAAACTATTGCTGCCAAAATACCTGGTTCAGAAGCTATGAAGCTTCACAACAGAAGTGAAATTGTTAGTTACATGGGTTATTTTGGATTACCTTTTCTTTTCTTTACCGCAAATCCTGAACCAAATCATAGTCCTATTTTTCAAGTATTATATGGTGATACTTCTATTAATCTTGATGAACATTATCCACATGTAGTTTCATCTACATTGCGTGGAATACGTGTTGCTCGTGACCCGGTTGCAGCTGCCGACTTTTTTCAGATATGTATAAACCTTTTAATAGAACATCTTTTTGGATGGGATTTCAAGAAAAGTAAAAGTAACTCAAAAGGTGGCATCTTAGGCCATGTTGAAGCATTTTATGCAGGTGTTGAAAATACTGAAAGAGGAAGACTTCATGCACATTTTGAGATTTGGATAAAAGGTGCACTGAATCCAGCTGAACTTCATAATCGTTTAAAAGAAGATAAAGAGTTTGAAACAAAGTTTTTCCAATATCTTGAAAGTATAATTAAGCAGGATCTGCCTGACAATGATGTAATTATTGAGGATGATTATGAACCACATATTATGTGACCTCCAGATATAAATTTTTTGAATATGGATGAGGATACACTCAGTTTGCTTAATACTGAAGTATATAAATGTGGTGAAAAAATGCAACGACATAAATGCCATGAAGTTTGTTATAAGTATCAAGCAAATAAATTAAAATGTCGTTTTGAATTTCCTCATGAAATAATTCCTGAATCATATTTTGATAGGGATAGTAATTCAATTTTTTTGAAATGCTTAGATTCTACAATCAATTACTACAATCCATATATCCTTATCTATTGTTGCCATAATCATGACTTATGCTGTATCTTATCCGGGAAAGCCGCCAAGGCTGGTATGTTCTATATTACAGACTACATAACCAAGATGGAACTAAGAACCTATGAGTTTCTATCCTTACTATCGCGTGCTGTTCTACGTGCAAAAGAAATAGTTGTATCTGGATCTTCAGAAAGTGCAAAAGCTCTTTTGAATAAATGTCTGTCACAATTTATAAAACAACAACAAGTGCATGCTCAACAAGCTGCAAGATATATTCGAGGTTTAAATGATACTATCAAATCACATTCTACAGTACCGATGCTATCGTCCTTACTACTTCAGTTTGTATTGCAGAGATTTACAGATGAAACTATAGATTATGATATTCATAACTCAATAAATAATGAAGATAAGACTGAAAATGATTGTGAACATGATTCCTACAATGATTTTATTGAACCAGTTAAACTTCATCTTTCTGTTGACAGATCTGGTCGATTGATTGAAGCCAATCAAATTGATAATTATTATTATAGAGATAGTAAGTTGCATAATATTTGCTTCTATGATTTTATCTGGCGCTTCAAACTAGAAAGAAAAAGTAATCTAATGTTGAAAGATACAGATGAACTCCGTTTGGGAACATATCCCCGTTACGAACTGCAGTATCCACATCCTCAGTATCAAACACATGTTCTTATTGATCGCAGTACCAAAATTGGAAAAGATAATTCTAATTTGTCAATTCCTAGACTTGTTGGTATGTCTGTTCCAAGAGTTAAAGACAAGCATTATGGTTTATTTATGTTAGCACATTTTAAGCCATTTGATATTGATTCACCATTATGGAGTTCCAATATTGGTATAGACAATACTTTTAAACACTTTGAATTTAATGACTGTGCTTTAGAAATAATGCGAAATTGGGAAGCAATACATGAATGTGAGGATCAACGAGATGCTGATAGACTTAAGAAAAGAGCATCTCACTTACAAGAAGCTACAGAAATTACTAAATCAGTAATGCACTTTGATTCAGATAATGCTACCAATGTATTAATACCAAATGACAAAGTTGACAGACGGAAGCTTCAAAAAGATATTGAATTAAATTCTGTTTTATATAAACTACAGACTTCAAATTGGTTTCAATCAAATGAAACTTCAACTATGGAAAATACTTCAAATACACCACTACCTGATATCAGTAACTCAAAAATTCTACAATGGAAGATGGAAATTAAACATCAAAATGATATTTTGCAAAGAAATCGAATGAATTTTCATCATCCAGAACATCAGATCACTATTCATACAGATGCACCACCCACAGAGGTACCATTATCTATTACCTCCGATAACAATACCATAAAGGAACCCTTACCAACAGAAATAGGACATCCTATTAAAATTGAATGTGCAACAGATATTCTAGATAGAATTATTTATGAAACAAAACTAAACTGCAAACAAAGTCTTGCATTCCGAATTATAGCACGTACATTTATCCAAAAGATAGAAAATGGTGATAAATATATTGAATTGCAAAAAAGTGTAAATTATAAACGTTATCTGAGACTTTTAATTACTGGAGGTGGAGGTACAGGGAAAACCTTTGTAGTAAATGCTGTTGAAAAACTGATGGAATATTATGGTGCTCAGTATAAAATTAAATATATAGCTCCAACAGCATCAGCTGCATTTTTAGTAGATGGAACTACCATTCATAAAGCTTTTTCAATTAGAGTACGTAAACATCCCAAAACTGCACGACTTGATAATGATGATAGCTATACAGTCATTATTAGTGTTGCAAATCGAAAACAAATTAGAGAAGAATTTAAAAATATTGATGTCTTGATGGTTGATGAAGTTTCTCTTTTAGGTCAACAACTACTTGCAGAAATGGATCATGCATTAAGATATGCTAAGGAAAACAATGAACCATTTGGAGGAATAACAATAATCTTTGTAGGAGATTTCTTCCAATATCCTCCTGTACATCAAACTCCACTTTATACACCTGTCAATCAATTTGATTCTTTAAATGATTATCAACTTCTTCGAAGATTGGGCAGATTGGCATGGAAATCAGCTACTGATGTCATATGTCTTGATGAACAACAAAGAATGAAAAAAGATCCAGAATATGCCACTGCAGTAGATCACCCTGGTAAACGAAAATGTACAATGGAAGATGTAGCTCTCTTTAATTCACGAGTCATTAAATCTGTTGAACATCCTGATGGCATTGATATGAGTGACCTAAAATATAGAAATGCTGTTGCTATTGTATCTACAAATCTGTTAAGAGAAGCTTTCAATATGAGAAAAGCTATTGCAAATTGTCAAGGAACAAATAAGCTTGTAATTTGTGCTGCACATGATACAATAAGAGGTCATGAAATTACAAATGAAGTATGTCAAAATCTATTAAAGATGGATATCTCTCACTTCACAAGTGACAGAGCTTTGCCAGGGTTTCTTCCACTTTATGAAGGAATGCCTGTCGTTTTACGTTATCAAAATATATCAACAGAACTTGGAATTGTCAATGGTGCTCAAGGAATTCTCAGAAAGTTTTTAACATATGTAGATTCTAATAACTTTACATGTTTAAAAGCAGCACTCATTGAACTACCACAAAGTAAGGTTCAATTATCAGATTTGCCTCCCAAATATTGTATTGTAGAACCAACAACTTGGACAACAACAATATCATTAAATTTAGATCCAACGAATCCTAACTCACATTGTGAAAAATATAGACTAATTCGTGAACAAGCTAACTTTCAACCAGCATTTGCAGTTACTGGACAGAGTGCACAAGGTAAAACATTACCAACTATCTTATCTTTTTTACATCTTGGAGGATTTTCTGCATATGTTTCTGCATCAAGAGCAAAATCTAGAGATGGTCTTTGTATAGTTCAGCCAGTAACATTAGCTGATCTCAATCATCCTTTACTATATGACCTTGTACACAAAAATTCATGCTTAGAGATAATGGAACACAATACATTAGTAAAATATAATTTTATATCAGAACCATTACATGAAGTTCCCTAACCAGAATATGAAAAACATAATAATCTAAAAGTCGGAAAACCGAATTTTTCAACTTCAACTGAATAACACTAAAAGAAAATCTGATTTATGTGACATTGATGATACTACTACTCAGCGTAGAAAGTTACATTAGCAATAGAAATGCTGTCATGTGTTCGCGTAAATGTTGTGACTGTTACGCTAGCTGGCACTGTTGTGGCTTTCATTTCACACCATCCATACCCCTTACACACCACTCCTGGATTGGTTTATGCATGACACGTTAGACGCTTTAGTTAGGCTGAGCCTCTACGAGCATGCAAAGCCTTTCAGTTTAATACTCTATCATACTATAGTCGCCATCAGCTTCACTCACACGCTTTCACTATTCCCACTATGTTCATAACCATTCATTATCGCCAACTCTGGTTCCCAACGTCTCCACGTCTATGCTCTCACATTCATAATATGTTGCTCCATGCTCTGTGTCATACACAGCTCACCTGTCGCTTTGGTTTAACTGAACACTAGCGAGGCATGGTTGCTGTCTTTTTTACCTTCCTACAGCTTGCTATAGTTGTCCTCCGTATGTTTTTCTTTCTCTTTTTTTGTTTTCTTCGGATATTAAAACTCTCCTGTTCGTAGCCAAGGGAATGCACGAAAGAGCTAATGCCTGAAGGATAAGAATCCTTCACCATCATCGTTGACTACAAATCTACGACCCTCCGTACAAATCGACGACCTTCCATACATCTCATATTCATCACACGCAAGATTCATGTCTCTCTCTGTCTAAACTGCACATCGTTCAACAGCACTACGTCGGCTGCATGTTCAATGGCATCTCTCCCTTCCTTGACCCCGTCACATGCGACTTGAGTGATCCTCTGTTTCAACTCTGCCCAACCCTTCAAGTTGTTCTGCAACAGTAGCGGCCCTCCCACTACAACGCCTACAGGGTTGTATTGCACCCCTCTCATCCTCATCATCATCCTGCTCCGTCGAACTCCACCCCAATCCCAGGGTTCACCACTGCACACGATCATCTGTTTCTATCCCAGCTTCGCCACTACGTAGCTGCCCATTACATCGCAAACCTTTTCCCAAATCTTGGGACAGCTCTCGCCTTTACGTCCTCTGAATTCAACTTGAAACACAGTATCCGCCATACCGAAGACACTGTTCTTCAAACGCGACTCCGCCTTGAAGTGTTTCAGCTTATCAAGAATAACAAGGTTGTATAGCTTTACTGGATGGTACTAGGGCTGTGCACCGTATTCGTCCAAGACAGTTGGACGGGACGTTTAGACAGGTGCTCTATCCGTCGCCGTTTCGATTTAGGACAAAATTCTGATGGAATGGTGGACAGGACAGATAGCACCCGTCTAATCCCGTCACCTAGACGGCCATCTGGACGGTACGGACAGTGATGCTGTGGGAAATTTTTCTACCACACCAACATCGACGTCAACGATGTAGCCTTCCATTCCCCTCCAGAGTTAGGCATGTTCTCCCTCCGTCGACGGCGATTTTGCCTGGGAGACTGTTTTGAGCGTTAAGGGCAAGTTTGGTCGGTGCTTGTCACTGATCCGCTTGGGAGGTACACAAAGGATGGGATCAATTCTGAGGAAGGGAGTTTGAGGCATACTACATGGAATCCGAGGTTCGGAAATGGAATTTGGAGGGTATGGCTGCGTACAAGTGGGACTCAGTCAACAGCAAGGAAGTGGCCACTTCTTTTGAGGAGAGCACGAAGGAGGAACATGCGAGGCATACTAGACGGCAGGTTTGTTTTGGCCGAAGTTTGTCAGCGCGTGTTGGGACATTGATGCAATTGAACATAGAGCTCACATATGATCTCCCCTCCTATGTAGGTCAAGATTGTGCTGCTGGGGCGCATGCAGATCATGAAGGACAATTGGACAGAACGAACCCTCCAGATGATGTGAGTTATGGTCGTGCTGTTGCCTTACCCTCCTGACTTTGCGTTTTTAGGACCTTCGTCTTGCAAACCATCATCCTTGGTACTTCGTTAACCCTTAGATACATTCATCACTACATACAGTAATAACTACACAGCCGTTGACAACCGTCACCCGTACGATGGCCCAAAGTAAACACTGACGGGACGGGGTATGGATGACACTTACCCGTTCACCACCCGTCCAGCAGACAGCCGTTCCCGCCCAGACGGACAGTGCGCAGCCCTAGATGGCACGCCGGTCAGCAGCTCCCGTGGAGAGACATGCACTAACGAGTCCTTCAGCCTTGCTGTCGGTTTCCTGTTAAGCATACTATGCTGTATTGTCCTCTTCATTGGTCAGCTGGGTCTTTTCGCAGGTACGCGCTTCTCTGGCGTAAGTCTTTTATATTGAATCTTGAGCTTCCGACAGTACTCTACATGAAGACTCACCACTAACGAAACTTATTGAACATAGGGTAAATTCGCCATCCCTCCTGCACTCCACAGGGCTAACGTTAACTACTACTTCACATCGTACATCAACCATCTCCACAAAAACTCTCCCATGCACCAACTAAAACTTTCTTTCAATTGGGAACGGAAGCTCCTCGCTGTTGGAGGGGAGCGGAAACAACAGGAACAGAAGCTCATCCCTGCTGGAGGTACAGCAACGCCACACAGCCAAAGCGCTTAGCTAAAGACAGTACCAAGGCTGTTTAATGCTGCTACCCCAATATCAAGGGTGTGCAGCCAACGTTCATACTTTCGAAACAAATACGAAGTTGCGTCAACGTTGCGCGTATGTGTTTTAACAATTTCCCTTGCATAGGAAGTCCATCTGCCTCAAACGGACCAAGAACCCCCTCCATCAGCCAACTTTGGCCTTGGCTTCGCTGCTGCAGCTTGAGCTGATATTTGCCATGCAATATAGGCCACCAATAGTCAACTCAATCCAAACTCAATCCCCCTAGATCTTTGGACAGCGCGGAAGCAGAAGTGAGGAAAGGCGTATACGAAGACATCAACATCATTGATTAAAAGAAAGTTTACTACACCACAACAATTACTGCTGTACCTACAACTTAAACAGCCGAACTGATACAACGCTTTTTTGGAATAGAAACAAAAATCTCATCTTCGATTTCTTGAACTTCGCGTGCATTTTTCATATTATCCTCGTAAACAGATAAAAACTGTGATATGATTAGAAAATAGCTTGCAAGAGAAGACCTAACATACTCTAGAACCGATTTTGTTGAGGATGACAACTTTGTCCAATTTTATCAAAAAAACTTGCATAGGCCTGGCTCCACCAAGAGTGATTGTGCGAAAATTGACAGACAATTCGACAAGATGACCAGGGCGAATTATGCAAGGATCCTCTAACTCAGTAACGACACTCGTTCTATGATGATCATGATCAGAAAAAGGAAGTATACAAGGAATTTATCAAACATTACCCAGACTCATCTTGCGTCACTTCCTCAAATTCGACTTCATTATCATCAGTATAATAAAAATCGCCTGAATTAACCAGTCATTGCAGGTGCCCCCGGGGATCTTGACCAACTCGAATATCATGTGTTGCTTGATCAAATGGGTTATTGCGAGCAGGCGTTAGAAAACGAGCTTTAGCAAGAAATGCAGGCTCCTCTAGTTCATACGAAAATTTAAATGGTTTCATAGCACCCGGAGGACGACTTTGTTCAAATAGCTGATAGATTTGATGGGTAGCCTTTAAAGCCTCGCCAAAAGCAACATTTTTGAAACCAACGATAGATACGTTCTGCAAGATTTTCTTCATATCGGTTGTACTCAATATCTATATCAATACAACAAAAATCATGAAATTATATATGTATAACTCACCGAACAATAGGTCCAAAGAAGGCAGACGTAACGACCCCCGTAATATTGAGCACAACTTCAGGCTGTCCAGATTCTTTTTTCCAGACCAAAAAACTATATCCGGCACTTTTCTTCACATTGAATCTATCATGAACGACACCAGCATCCGTATACTGGCTCAGTTGCATGTCCCAATAGATGTCTGACAACATTCGTCGTTCAACAACGGAATCGAGTGCCGTAGCTGTACCATAACACATAACAAATGACATTCATGAATTATGGAAATGACAACCTACATATTTCCCAAGATTCCGAAAGTATGTCCAACTTTTCGCCAATTGATAGAGTTGCCATGGATAAAGTAAACGTTCAGAGCTGAAAGAACACTATGATATCATAAGTTTGAATAATGTCATAGTGTCAACAAATTTCATCTGTATACGTCATAACAACAACTGACGTTGTAACTTCAATTCATCCCTTCGACAACATCTCACCTGCACATTGACGATGCCGACTCACCATGAATCCCTCCACCAACAGCACATCCTGCAAAACGAACAAAAACAGCCGATGAAGTTCTCCGGGAGAGGTGCGCAAACACCACTATAGCTCATGTCTAAGGTCCCTCACGCATCCTACAGCACTCTGCATGACCTACGCACTCTCACAGGAGTACCTATGAAATGTCACCCTCTCAGCACTTCACCCACTCTAATGAACATCAAACTATGTAATTTCAACGCTTGCTACAACACAGATGTCACTAAGCGACTGCGAATGCTTGAAGACACGCCCAGCACTTGTGGACTCATCGAAAACCTTGCACTCATTGAGCCCAATGATTTCGAGATGAAGAACAAATACTTTTGTCGACGAGACGATCCAACAAACACTCCCGCTCGCTTCTTCCTAGTCGGCACTGTTACAAATAGCTCCCTGCTCAGCGGCGATATCAGTCGCAACATCTCTGTCTCCTTTTCGAACCGAACCTTTCCCCGCGCCATTGCAGCTATTGGCGAAATCTTACATGAAAAAGTCCTCTTTCTCCCAACATTCCAACAAGGAGTCAGTATCACCACAGCTCGCAAGCTCAAAGAAGGTACTAGTCAAACCACCATACGAGGACTTACACCCTCGTCCCATCGTCCCCGACAACATGACGACATAGAACAAGGTACGTTTCCCCACCCCATTTTTATTTTCCTATGAGACCTATTTACAATTTTCGTCTTCACAGCCTTGCTGCCATGGGATGCGAAAGGTCTTATCTCTCTTTGTTTTATCTCCTACATCTCAACTCACGCTGTCTTCGTCAGTACCTGTTTACAATGGCACCAAGCCATTCCTTCTCAGTCAATACAAGAACCAGCAGCAAATCGTTGACGAACTGACCCCAAACTCCGCCGTCATCGCCATATTCACCCTCACCACCTTCCCTTATCATCGACTAAGCAGCTCCCTCTCAAGCGCGGCAATCAATACCTCTCTCACCTTCAATATCCAGTCCATCATCTGGCTCGCGTACCCATCAAAAGACGCAACCGTCGATCCCTCCCTCGCACCCTCCCCTGCGATCGGCGTCACCGACGATTATCTCGTTAACGACATCGCAGATATCACTCAACCAGACATCATCCTCAATGAAAACGAAGGCCTCATCTAATGCTACAACTTTCTTACTCATGTACACAACACTTTCCGACAACGTCCACAACTTTCTTACTCACGCAATACTCATGTACACATATTTATCCCGAAGCATAATACTATCTTATTGCTATATTGCCATCTCATCAACATTTCTGTACAGACGATGCACGAAACAGAAACACTCGACAAACGACAAACGGCAACATCGCACAAACAAGACTCGGGGACCGGGCGGGCTCGCCCGCCGCTAAACATTTTAAAACTCCGCTCAGTAGTGATCAGTAGTGAAGCACAGGTATGAGTAGCGACCCCCATGGAGACCAAAACTTTCGCAGAATTAGGGATCTGCGCACCTCTCTTGCAGGCACTAGAAGAACTCAAGCACACAACTCCCACCGAAATACAGACAGGTTGCATCCCGCAAGCTATCGCCGGGCGAGATGTCATCGGTAGTGTTTGGAAGTTAGGTTAGTTAACCGGAAAATAACCGAGACTGGACCGAACCGTAACCGATCAGGACCGCAAAGATTACCTAACCGATCCTAACCGTAACTGTGGTCCGGTTAGTGGTTAGGTGTCATCCCAAAATATTCAAGACCAAACAAAAACCAGTTAGGACCGGTTATAACCGGTCTTTGTGTCCTAACGTTACACACAAATATTCCCCTGTTTAAACGCTTTCTAACGATCCAAAAATCATATTTTTTAGTGGAGAATTGACATATTTACGGTGAATTGAAATTTAAGTGACTATTTTCCTGTCGTCACATGTGTGATAATGTGACATTGATACAACAATGGTGATCCATGAGAAACGCTCGCAGGTCGGGTGTACTCGACCTGCGAGGTTGTTTATGAAAATTGTGCGAGGCGGTGTTTCACCTACACGCGCCTCGCTGGTGCATGCAGTATAATGAAATATAATATAGGTTTGTAATTATGTTGGTACAGAGAAATAACCGGTTAGGACCAGTCATGTAACCGACCACTAACCGTTACTAACCGATTATATCGGTTAGTAGCAGTCCGGTTCGGTTATTTTGGGTTTCATGGCACAAGGTAACCGGTCTCGGTCTCGGTTAGAGCCCTCAAGGGCTCAATAACCGGACCGGACCGGACTTTCAAACACTAGTCATCGGTATCGCACCCACCGGTTCCGGGAAAACGCTAGCTTTCGCGATTCCTATCCTCCACCGCCTATGGGACAATCCTCAAGGCTACTTTGCATGTGTTCTTTCCCCTACTCGCGAGCTGGCTTATCAAATCTCGGCGCAATTCGAGGCTCTGGGCGCAGCGATGGGTGTCCGGTCGGTTGTCATTGTCGGTGGCGACGACGACCGAGTTCAGCAGGCGGTACAACTCGCCCAAAAGCCGCACATTATTGTCGCTACACCAGGGCGGCTTCATGATCATCTCAAGTCAACGAAATGATTCAGCTTGCGCTCCTTGAAACATCTGGTATGGACAGCTTTCACACCACTCAACCCATCATTCACCTCGGCCTACAGGTTCTGGACGAAGCAGATCGTCTTTTGGACCTTGATTTCCAGCGTGAAATAACTGAAATCATGCAGTCAATACCCAAGGAACGTTGCACGTACCTCTTCTCAGCTACCATGACGGCAAACGTCTCCAAGCTACAGCGCGCAAGTCTCTCTGACCCAGTCCGCGTTGACGCATCGTTGTTCAGGTTTGGACCTGCTTATACTTCGTTACAACTTCTTCTCATTCGATTCCACACAGGTACACCACAGTCTCCACCCTTCTCCAACATTATCTTCTATGCCCTCTGGTGGAAAAAGAAGTCACACTGGTCTATTTGATCAACTCTTTGGCGCAGAATCTGATCATCGTTTTTGTTCGAACTGTGGCTGACGCGAAGTGGTACATGAATTTCCTCTTCTCACGACTCCCATCTGAACCTCTTTTCCTCAGCCTAAGCATCATTCTACGCAGTCTCGGATTTGAAGCCGTACCTCTTCACGGCGAGCTTACGCAAAGCCAGCGATTGGGCGTGTTCACTAGATTCAAAAGCGGAAAAAGCAGAATATTGGTAGCCACTGACGTGGCAAGCCGGTGCGTCGCTACAGCTATAATCTTCCCGTTGAGAAGCCCATTGTTTTCATCATAGTGGCCTGGATGTTCCCAATGTTGACGTTGTCATCAACTACGACGTTCCCACTCACTCGAAAGACTACATCCATCGTGTGGGACGTACAGCACGGGCAGGTAGAGCTGGCAAATCCATACTCATGGTCACGCAATACGATGCCGAACTCATGTTGCGTCTGGAGAAAGTCCTAAATCGAAAACTAGACCTTTATCCAACCGACTTGCAGGAGATCGCGCTGCTCAAAGAGCGGGTGGTTGAAGCTGGAAGACTAGCCCGCAATCAACTCAACGAAGAGAGCAAGGCTCGAGGAGGAGGTAAAAAGCGCCGTTACAAATTGTCAGGTGGCGACGACAGGGATAGGGATGACGACGTGGTTGAAGCAGGGATGCCTACCCTGTCGCATAAAAAAAAACGGCGTACATAGTCTGGTCCCGCTCGAGTGTTTTGCTATCCTAGTTACAGTTCAGCTTGTTATCCTAGTTATCGTATTCAGCCCGTTCATGATCATCTGACTGGGTATAAACCCGCGTAACCCCCAAGGTAACCCCCACGTGATCTGAATATCAGCCACCTTGAATACAGTGCTGTGCGCAGACACCCACTTCAGTTCCATCATCCGCAGGGGAGCGAGCCCAGCCCTCCCCCCCCCTCGTATCCGTTAGCGCCAGGAATTCCTCCCTGAGGTACTGTTCTGGCTTCGTCACGTCCACATTTGATGCTAAAACAAAAGCTTGACTGTCAGTGAACGTAGCCGCATGGCTAACCCATCTTGTAGCGGGATCGAGTCGTTTTGGGTGAGATCTTTTGAGATCGCTCCTTGTAGGCGGCTTTTCACAGGGAGACCCTTGATATATCCTTGATCAATTGAAGTCTGAGTCTGATAGTCGCGACTCGTAAATATGAGTCCTGGTGACTGGAGTCAGATTGCAGGTGCCAGGCACAACAACACTTCTACCCCCGTATCAATAACAATAACTACAGGCCACCGATGCCATGGGCGATGTATTTTCCCGATCCATCTAGAACACCGGCATATGTGGAGGGCAGGCAATCGTCTGAAGGACGACAAGGTAAGTTAAGAAATTTTTAAGCAGTATTTCACGGGACAGTCCCCCGCAGGAATGTCAGAGCTCAGGCTAAGACGTGCTTTGGCTGCGACGCCACACTAACGCGGTGCGCCCATCTACCAAAGTTCTCCCCTGGTTCCCAATCAAAAAAAAATGAACCTGCGGTCCCGTGCACACTGAATGATAGTGTGTGGCCAATTACTCACGGACATGACTAGTAATCGTGGTCACAAGATAGAAGGGTGGGTCCATTCCATCATTTTACAATCTGACAATACTTAGTGGGGTCAGTCCAATCAGAATGAATTGTGCTATCCTAGTCACAAGGGGCAAACAGCTTTTGTCGCCAGGTAAAGAGGTAACAAATAGTAAGTAACTATGTTAAATCTTTTATTCCACATTTGTGACAAAAATGATCAGTCAAATAAAATTATAATTTTCTTGCTTATGATCTTTGTGGCAATGACCAATAAAAAGAAAATGTTGTTGCCACAGCAGGAAGATAAAGATAAACCCTGTTTTGCTGTGGCAACAATGATGAGGCAACAATTTAATGTCGTTGACAGCTCGTTCTGACATGAGGAAATGGGAACAAAGAAATTATATAATTGCCAGGGAATTAGACATTCCCATGCAGGCCAGATCACCTCGTTGCTTGGCAAATATGTAAATTCTTTGTTTCTGTTTCCTCATGTCAGAACAAGCTTTCATTGACATTAAATTGTTGCCTCATCATTGTTGCCATAGCAAAACAGGGTTTATCTTTATCTTCCTGCTGTGGCAACAACATTTTCTTTTTATTCATCATTGCCACAAAGATCATGAGCAAGAAAATTATAATTTTATTTAACTGATCATTTTTGTCACAAATGTGGAATAAAAGATTTAACATAGTTATTTACTATTTGCTACCTCTTTACCTGGCGACAAAAGCCATTTGCCCCTTGTGAGTATGGTCGCAAGCGCTTGTGGTGGCCCCACAATAGGATATTTGCATTTTGGGCCACGGCTTCTAAAGTTGTTGTACGTAATCAACCGCATTGGTCGACTTCTTAGACTGCAGTCTGCCTGTGTGTGCGACAGAGAAGCAATCGAAGCCGTCCTGCACAGTATATCCCCACACGTTCACGGCTTAACTTCCCAATAAAATCAGGCACTGTATGCATGCTTCAAATTCGTGGATCTCTTTCAGTCTCTTTCACGTTTCTGTATTCGGCCTTACCCTCAGTGCTCTATATAAGGTGAGAGTACACGCTCTTCCTCTCCCTCACCGCCCTCTTCTCATCGCTCAACTCCAATATGTCTGCAGCAGTAGGTTTATTTGATATTCCCTACCGCGGCGGCATTAATCCGTCCTCAGGCATTTTATGTCAAGCAGTTCGTCACCCTTACCACCACAGGCAAAATCAAAGCAAATGCCGATCTCTCCAATTTCCAGTATATTGACGAGCTAAAAGATTGTATCTGGAAGATAACGGCGATCGACGGGGTAAGCTGCAATGTGTTCAAACATCAGCGCTGTGATATATAACCCACCCAGCCGTGGATCATGATTGTCCCCACCGCCATCGATTTTGAGACCGACGCCTCACTTGAGGTCAACGCCAAGCACATTGCACCTTCCGTACGTGTTGTAGCTGTCATCGGACTTTTTATTGCGAGGCTCATTAGAGCGCCAGAATTAAGGGCAGTGAATCATGCCCGTTCACGGGTGAACGTGTATTAGTACAGTCTGTTGTGTCACGGTCTTGTCAATGAACTTAGCATGTTTGTGTGAAAACGGACACACTGAGGCAACACTGAGGCGACAAACATTGAGAAACCCCCTTTCCGCAGAAAACCCCCCACTACGGTGCGCTAGCAGTATCAGCCAGGAATTCAGATCAAAATTCATCTGGCATTGTGATTTCCGCCCGTCTCGAGGGTGTTCTGGCTTCTTTGCCTTGTCGTTCTTTTACATACATCGGCAATGACAAGCTTATCTTATTTTTTATTCTATGTTTGCAAAATGTGCTATGTCAAACCTCAATTGCGAGTTGAATGAAGACGCCTATCACCTCTCTGCTGGTGGACGACTGACATAATTTGGCTGATAGCCTTTGAATGTGCGATCTTCCAGTCCAAAAATCTATGACCACCGCGTCAATTGCACCCCGCATTTCGTTGTGGTGTAAGAGTCGGGGAACAACCCTATATACGATAGTTATTAGTGCAAGTCGGAGGAGTTTGAAGAAGCATTACTTACCTATGCACATAAAACCATTTGGTTAGACGATGACACCGTCTCGATTTACACACGGCGAACTTCTGTAGATATAAAATTCACGCGAGGATCTATAATAAACCATACATACCTTGCTTGCATAGCTGCAGCTCCGCTCCAGTCTTGAAATCGAGAAGTTGGTCCCAGTTCTTCACGCCCTTTGACAGTATCAAATATGGCTGATAACTATGGGAGCGGAAAGGCAGGATGGAAGGCGGCGAAACGTACGCATGTTGCGTATTGCGTGTTTGATGATAGCGAGGCGTGTGAGACGGCTGTAAGAGGATCAATGTTGAGGAAGTGAAGGGTGCGTGAATTACGGAAATCGAGCCAAGAGAGGTCCTTTGCCCCAGAAATCGGATCACGGAGTCCAATGTTTCTCAATTCCTGAACCTTCCTCCTGCCGCACAATCTCGCCCTGCGTAAATAAAATACTGGTAAACGTCGGCCCAGATCAGACAGATGCGGCGACCAGAAGGAGAAGCTTGACGGCAGACCATCCACGAATGATGGACACGCGGGTCTTGCACACAAACACCGAACCATCGCCTGGCTTCGATTCACAAAGTTTTTGTGCCCAGTTCGGCGAAGTTGGTGAGAGGGGGAAGTTCGTCTGATGTTGGACTCGAACATATCTAGTATCTACCAGGCAAAGAGTTTCCAGTTTCGATCGAGGGCTCGCACATGGACGGTAGCGCCAAAATGGAAATTATTGTTTGTGCTGTAGGTCCACGACGATTTGAGAGTATAGCTCTAGTATTACAGACTCTAGTAAGCAGAAGTTCTCGAGAGGTTGTCGAGAGGGATGTCCATCAGAAAGGGACCTTCCATTTTTGGCGAATCACGTGCAGACCCTTGTTCAAAATTGCGGATTTGAGGACCCAAACATAGCGGATTTGAGGCCCATTTTTGCAAGTTTTTGTGGACAAGAAATGGCATGAGCTTCTGGGGGCCTAAATTTCCATACATCAGTAATTCTGTCTAACCCACTTCTTTCCCAAAAACTATCAGCGAGAATTTGAGATCGCATATCCTTGGATGAAGAATGCATTGGAGGTGAATGTGCAACCTTGACCGTTTTGAAGGCCAAAAACATTCATTACATAAATGTCCTGCAACTCTTTGGTTTTCTTTGACGTAGGAAACCACGTACTAAACCTAAAATAAAAACACAAGATGTGCCCAACGTGTGTAAGAGAATGACATTTGTGGTTCAGACTCAGAGGAGCCAGAATACCCACAGGACTTGTGGGGGACAGGTGGAAATCACAATGCCAAATAAATTTTGATCTAAATTCCTGGCTGATACTGCTAGCACACCAGTACTTTACCCTCCCTGGGTTATTCCATATGGAATGGATGAAATGGGGGGTGGACTGGACAAATTCCAGATGGATTCCATGGTTTGGGGGATGGAATCCATACTTTTGGGGGATGGAATCCATACTTTGGTTGATGGAATCCATGCTTTTTCCAGATGGAATCCATACTTTTTTAAGATGGATTCCATGCTGTTTTTAGATGGATTCCATCAATTTCCAGGGTGAAATCCATGGTAAGTTCCAACTTATCTAGAAAGTGGGCTGTATGAAATAATGCCAAGTCAGGAATCACAGATCTGCACTTATTCATACTGATAATTGCTCAAGAACAATTGAAATATATTGATTAGGACTACATATATTTATTTTACTACATTACATATTGAAGGGAGAGGAAGAGGTGGGGGGGAGTGAGTGGGTGTGGTGGAGAGTGGGGAGGGAGAGAGTGGTGGGAAGTATTGGAGTGAGGGGGACACAGGAGGGATGGGGAGCAAAGGGAGGGGAGTAGTGTTTAGAAGTCTGGTCTCATGACTGGAAAAAAACCATAACCAGACTGGACCAAGACCGCAAAAGACCGGACCTGTGGTTATGGTCTTTTATTTTTGAGATGTTAAGACCGCAAAAAAACCGGTTAACATGAACCGGTTTTAACCAGTTTGGACCGGACTTTTGTAGCCCCTTAAATGCCCTTTAAAACGCACCCAAGAACATACAATTTGGTAAAGAATCAAGAGAGATATGAATTAAATTGTAAAATATTTTTGGAAATAGTAGATGTACCAGATTTATTGTATAGAAACACCAATTCCTAACCAAATTTAACGTTCTTGGGCTCGTTTTAAAGCCAGTAGACATGTTAATAAATTTACCAATTCATAATTTTAAAATATTAGCCTAAAGACCGGTCATAGACTGGTTAAAACTGGTGCAGACCGAAACCAGTCTAAAAACCGCAAAAAGACTGCAGACCACAGTCTTTTGCGGTCCAGTCCAGTCTTTTTGACTTCTGGGAAAAGGGTAGACTGGTTGCGGTTACGGTTAAAGCCCCTGGGCATCAAAAGACCAGACCGGACTGGACTTTCAAACACTAGAGGGGAGCAAATGGAAGGAGAGAAAGGGGAGGGGGACTGGTAGCAGAGGGAGAAATGGGGGGGATGGGGATGGAGGGGGAGGAAGTAGGGTGGAAGAGAGGGGATTTACCTGGGCTCATTGTTGCCCATGTCTGTCCACTTTCGTGAGTGGTCTTCTCTGTTGGTCAACAGGTGTCCATTGGCACTCATTGTCCATTGCTCATCGTTGTAATTGGGCAGTGGGCATTGTCGTTCATGGGCACATTGATGTTTTTGGTGGGCATTGATGTTTTTGGTGGGTGTTGACGTTTTTGGGGCAGTGGGCAGTCATCTGGTGGGCATTCAACTTCGTTTCGTGGGCGGTTGTCTTCCTGGGTGGTCATTCACATCCATGGGCAGTTGCTTTTGTCGGTGCTTGTCTTCATGGGCAGTTGTTGACATCCGTGGGCGGTCATTGACATTGGTGGGGGCTGGTCTTCATTGGTGGGCAGTCGTGGTGGTGGGTGGTCGTTGACATTGGTGTGGTGTGGTGGTGGGCCGTTTGTGGTGGTGGATCTGGTGGACAAATGGAGATGATGAACAACGACTGAGTCATCGTTCGTTGTCTCGTTATGATGTGGCACCTGTGGTTTGGGTCAGTAAAGGTTAATGGGTGGGGTGGTTTGTTCACAGGTGGAATGAAATGAGGATGACAACATTTGTCATTGTCTGTCATCTGTTTGCCACGCCACTGGCTTACCTGGGCCTTCTGCTCGCCGTCATTCCCACCCATCCATGGTTGTCATCAGCGTTGCTGTTGTTGTTGTCACCAGTGTCGTTGTTGTTGGCGTTGTCAACACCGTTGGTGCAGGCAGTTGTGGCTTGAGACGGTGGGGTGGATGGTGATGGTGGTGGTGAAAGGAAGAAGTGATGTGGCAACACAACAGCCATAGCTGTCACATTTGAGATGCCATGTGACAAACAACACTATATGGATACCTTTAGCTTACCATATAACAAAGCCTGTCTGGCTCAGGTGGTTACAGTGCTGCTTCCATTCATGACATCATGGGTTCAATTCTCTCAGGTGCAAAATTTATTCCTTACTTACTTATAGTAAGGACACTATAAATAGTGTTTGGAAGTCCAGTCTCATGACTGGAAAATGACTGTAACCAGACCAGACCAAGACTGCAAAAGACTGGACCTGCAGTTACAGTCTTTTATTTTTGAAATGTAAAGACTGCAAAAAAACCGGTTAACGTGAACCGGTCTTTTGTAACCCCTCAAATACCCTTTAAAACGCACCCAAGAACGTACGATTTGGTAAAAAAACGAGAAAGATATGAATTAAAATGTAAATTACTTTTGGGAATAATAGATGTACCAGACTTATTTTATAGAAGCACCAATTCCTAACGGAATTTAACGTTCTTGGGCTCGTTTTGAAGCTATTAGAGATGTTAATAAATCTACTGATTCATAATTTTAAAATATTGGCCTAAAGACCAGTCATAAACCGGTTAAAACCGATGCAGACCGAAACCAGTCTACAGACTGCAAAAGACCACAGTCTGCGGTCTTTTTGCGGTCTGGTCTGGTCTGGTCTGTTGACTTCTGGGGAAAAGGCAGACCGGTTACGGTTACAGTTAACACCCCTGGGCATCAAAAAACCAGACCAAACCGGACTTTCAAACACTAACTATAAATACTATATCTAGATGTATTCTAATGGTATAATGGATGACTTCCCATAGAGTCTAGGAACCTGGATTATCTTCTAAATGTTTGATGGGCGGGGTTCGAAAATATAATCAGCCAGCTTTCTAAACCATAAACCAAGCAATACAAAACCACACAATTTTTCTTCTGTGGAAGCAGATCTTGTTCAGGATCTCCCCACTTGAGCTCATTCCTTTTCCACTGCGCCTCCAGCTTTAATTGGCACAGAATCACACAAGCCTTTAATGTATAGACAATGGTTGTGTACAATTTGGCAGCCCAAATCTGTCGTTTGAAGGAGAGCGACGTGTGTCAATGTGCTGCAATCTTACAAAACTTCGTCCACAATGGATTTTGGAAGAAAATGACTTAATCATCATTAACTGTTTATTCCTTAGATACTATTTCTCGAGGAAAATACAAAAAAATCAAGTGTATAGTCCTATAGAAGGCCTACTACATATGTTGGTGTATCTCGATGTGTTACCTGATACGGATGCAACACTCAGGGCTTGATTGTCGGACAATGAAAAAAGGGTTTATTCAAGTGATTTAGAACTAGAAGGGGGGGTCGGAGGCCTTGTCTAGATTTTCATCTAGAAGAGGGTGCTCGATGACAAGCGGAGTTTAATCTTGACAGATTGTGACCCATTTGGCAATCGGCATGGCGGCATGTCAGTTTAGAAAATAATCTGGGTTTCTAAACCTTATGGGAAGTCATCCAATGGTCATTAATTGTGGACTTGTTCCATGGAATCCATGGTGGATATGCCTAAATTCCATATGGAATTCAGTGGAATCCAGGTGGAATAGCAATGGATTCCATATGGAATTGACTATTCCATGACCATTCCATGATCATTCCACATGGAATCCATGGTGTCCATGGAACAACAAATTGGCTGTGGTCTCAGCCAAGATTCATTCCATGGATTCCATATAGATTAACCCAGGGAAGGTAAAGACCTCTACAGTTCTGCCCTCAACTCATACCTCGATTTCATCAAGTTACATGAATTTCCCCTGGACCCAACTCCCGATATGCTCAGTCTTTTTACAGTTTACATGTGTCACCACATCAAGCCTGGATCCATTGCACCTTATCTATCTGGCATCTGCCAACAACTCAAACCCTATTTCCCCAACATATGCACCACTCACAACTCTGCTCTTGTACATCATACATTGCAGGGCTGCAGGCATCTGTGTGGGACTCCTACCACCTGCAAACACACTCTCACACTTGACGACCTTGAGACAGTCATCAATGCCCTGGGCAACTCTTCTGATTATGACAACATGCTCTTCCTCACTCAGCTACTCACAGGCTTCTTTGCCCTTTCCACTTGGGGTAATTAACTTACCCAGATGACCCACATCTCAGAGACCCTCAAAAACTCCCCAAAAGAATGTCTGTCCATTTATCTGACATGTCCTTTCAGTTTTTCCTGCCTGGCCATAGGCCAACAGGTTCTTCAAAGGCAATACCATCATCATCAGAAGAAACAACCATGTTTTTGACCCCTACAAGTGCTTTGTGGCATACCTAAATGCATGAGACTGCAAGTTCCCTTTTAGCTCCCCCCTTTGGCTCACCAGCACCAGTGTTGTGCCCACCTGGTCTTTCTTCATCAAACATCTATGTTGTTTTTTCAGCACCGACACTGCAGGACAATCTCTCAGAGCAGGTGGAACCACCTCCCTCACCAAAAATGGTGTACCACCATCTATTATTCAAGCAATTGGCAGATGGGCCTCTGACACTTTCAAGATATATATCTGAAAAAATCCTGTCCTTATCCAGGTGTTACTTTTTGGCCAAACTGCATGTGCTGCATCTTCTTACATCCATGCTTTGGATTCATAACATGAACAGTTCCCTTTTTTCTCCTACCATACAGACTTTACTTACTCACGAATTTTTTCCTCTTTATTGTACAGACTTTTTTATTACCCTCACCACCACCTACAACACAGACATAATTTTTCCCCTACCAATATCATACATGCATGTATTCCTTCCACCTTTCCCCTCGCTCCTCTCATCAACCACTACATGATCTCATCAGCCCCACTTTTCTTTCATTTTTCTTTTTATATAGGAATATAGCCATACCTCAAGTGGAAATGCATCGGAATCTGGCATGCACCATGCCAGATCTCCTGACTTTGGCTATTAGCTCTCATGACACCATCACTCATACTGCCTCTGCATCATGCAAAGCCCAGGTGTCATTGGTCAAGTTTAAACAAGGTGTTTACTCAAGTCCAATGAGAACTGACCAAGGCTAAGTTGCACGCATACAACCACAGTCATGTGTTGATAGGGAGTATAACAATACACCCATAAAAATGCGAATTTTAGCAATTTCTCCTATAAAACCTCCTATAGTAGAAATACAGTCATGTTAATCATAAGGATTGTTAGATGCAACCTGGTCTAGTTGATTAAAGTCTACATCCAAGAAATGTGCACACCTTAGGCAGTAGGAATTGCAGTCAGTTCATGACTGAATCACTTCAATATACTCAAAGTCTGATAAAAAGGCTACACTACCATGAAATAGTACACTATAGTATGTTCTAGAGTGAAGACACCTCCGCATAGGGTGTTGGAGTTTACACCAAACCAGGGTCTCACCTTACTATGGATTAAAAGATATTAATTCTAAGATAAACATGCAAGCGTAGAAACTCAACACATACCTGACATGAGAAGTCATTTGGTCACATGCTATGAAGCATGATCCAAGAAGTCATGTGGTGAGATGCATCATAAACCATGGCATCATTGATCCAAGAAAACTCAACTTTGTGAAATATTATGAAGTCTTCCAACAGAGAAAAAACCATGAACGATTTGCCATGTGGTCTGAGACCCATGTGCGGCATCTAATAATAGAAATAAAATCAGTAAGCGGACCATTCAACTTGGTTGAACCGATCATGAAAACTGTTTATGGTGATTTCCATGTACACATCAATACTGATGTGTTGCATTACCACAATAGAGAAAACACTACAAAAAAAAAAAGTCAGCTCAGTTGTGCCACACACAACTGAGCCCCTTCAAACCTTTACCAAAAATCAGTATTAATTCATCTGACCTCTCAGACAATGCACAGACATGTAAATATAGATAGAAAACATAGAATAGTATAAAAGGAGAACACATGGCGATGCAGGCTGAAACAAAAGGAATTATCCCTGCATTGACCAGCTGTCACACTCCCAGTAGCATCTGAGGTAGTGGATAAGTTTGTAATCAATTTAAAAGGACTTTTCTTCACAGACATAAGTAACATGTGCCCAGAACCAGCGTGTTAAGTGGGGATCACTAAGCTTTTGTAAGGTTGTCGCATCAGTCAGTAAGAGAGCTCTCTACTACTACTGAGGAATCCAAGTGGGCATGCTTGAAGAGTCTTTAAGACTAGTTTGGATCAAATCAGAGGCATAATAAAAGCTCAAGGGAGTTACAAAAGTTTATAAAGCACAGTTTCCTTGATATTTCTTTGCATACAGTTAGAATGCAATCCCAGAACATCAAGATAGTCCCAATAAAAGCCGTTTTCCTTTCGAAGACTATTAAGTTTCAAATTCTATACTTGTGCCTGTATGTAAAAACAATACCATTTGTTCCAAAAGGTCTACTAGACTTAGACAAGTGATATAAAATATACAGAATTGTTTCCTTGAACTTCTACTTAAGTTCTAACAAAACAAGTGTGGTAATTCTATTTACTGTACGAACCCAAACTCAAAGCACTGAGCACATACCTGTGGTGATAAGTGTTTAAGGTGTTAGTGTGTGTGTGTGTGTTGTTTAGGATCTTGTCAGCATGTCCAATAGCACTTTCCTCACTCCCACGTGACACAGTCTTCTCAGTGTCCACTGATACACAACTACTAAGAGCTCCTGCTCTCAACCCACATGATCCATGCCTGGATATGCACTTCGAGGACCTAACATATTTTTAGGTCAGCCCCTCACGGTTGAGGAGTGAGATTGAGACACCTCTTTCCACCAGGCTCTCATCTTGACATGTCACTTGTCAACCAGGTATGATTTCTCATTCTCTATCTAGGCTCTAGTCTTGATATCTTACTCCAATATCCAGTAACATACATCTTTCTTGTCACCCTCCCACCCACTTCCTTTTCATATACTACTACTAATTACTAGTAGTACATCCAATGTATGTAGCCATACCTCAAGTGGAAACACATTGGAAGGCTATTAGCTCTCATGACACTGACACCCATACCACCTCTGCATCATGCAAAGCCCAGGTGTCATTTGAAAGCAATGACAAGATATTGTATATCAGTGTATTTGTGTATTTGGTGAATAGATTGGTCAGAAATCAAAATCCTGCCATGGAGTTCCCTCCAACACTACTATGCCCTATCAGTACTTCGGCAGACCCTGTGCAAACCCTCTCAGTTGGCACTTTCCTGATCTCAAACTTTCCACAAATTGTCTTGCCACAAATTTTGAGACAGGGCCTCCTGGGTATAATCCAACCTATTTTCGCTTTTTTTCGTTGAAAAAAACAAAGAATTGGCGAAGTTCTGTTTTTTGGCCAGTCACGGTCTGTCACTGGGGGCATTGGCCTATCTATTCACAGAAGATATTGAGAATAAATCAGAGATAAAATAATAAATTGTTCAGGGATAATATCAGTGAGGAAATGAAGAAGAAATTCAAAATTTCTTCTTCTATAACATCAGCATCTAACTACAGCTTAGATTGTGAATATAATAAAATTTTCTTCCGAAGATGCAAGGCTGAGGATATAGAGAAGATATCGTGACGCGTCACGCCTTTCACATGGCTTTCGGGCCCGACTCCCGATCCATTGCCAACTTGAATCTTTCTGGTGTTCCGCCCTCAGACTACGCTATTTTATCGCGCTTTCCTAGGCCTCAGCGCATGAATATCTCGAGCCTGCTAATGAACTACGAGAGGGAATACCTGCCGGAACTATCTTCTACAATGAGGAGAATGAAGGCTGATACAGATGATTGAACTGCAAGGGTTGTCCAGTGAATTCAGGACCTCATCCGCTCACCCGGTTCATCTTCTCTCCTGAAACCTATAGTCGCGGTGAACTCGCCTCACTTCCACTATGTTCCTCACCTGGCATCAGTTGCTCAGCTGGCATCGGCGTCTGGAAAAGAAGGAGTCGAACACTGTCAAAGGATTAGGACCACGTTAAACTCGTCGCCATTGCTCTCAACACCACGTGGAGGTTGTACGCAGGAAGGGCGAATCGGCGCCCTCTTGAGAGGGAAAGAGAGGCAAAGTTTTGTTGGGTCCAATGCCACATTGTCGATTTACGTGATTGCAGGCCGAACCATGGAAGATCGTTGTGGGGGATGTTCGGGTATGCAGGGCTGGATTGAGTGGAGGGGCATAGGTGGATGGTGGAAGAAATGGGTGAGAGGATGGTGAAGTTGTTCGAAAGTTCTGGTCTGAGCGATATCATTCCACTGCTGAGGTGGAAATATGAAGATTGAGCTCACAGATAGTCCCAGCTACTACTGTGTAACATCAACATACTCATCAATCACCATCACCACCAACTCACTCACAACCACTGTGGCATTTCTCATGCTCTGATCTTCCACCGTTCTCGCGATGGTTCAAGATGGACTCTCTGGACTGAAGGTATGTGCGCCTTGTTCTGATTTTCCGTTCACTTGACTGACTCAACGATATTGATAAGTACTTGCAGTGAACATCTAATGGCACTTTCCACTCTGTGTTCTGCAACAACCCACTCCTTACAAGCTCAACAGACCCATTGCAGCCCTATCAACGCACTATTGTAGAATTCCGTCACATGATTCAAGTACATGAACTACGCCCTCCCACTACATAATACAATGACACAAACCATCCGACGCAGCTTCTGGCGTACGCTAACCACAGGAATGTTAGCGTTGAATCCTCTCATCTAGATTTCCGCTCGTGGTGCAGGTAGTTCGGCGGCTTCAAGACACAGGGTGATTCATCGACAACCGATGGATTGGGAGCAATTCACGATGGGCAAGAAGGTGAGTATGAGAGTTGCTGCTGTCTTGAAATACTGCATATTGACGCAGTTGCAGCGCTTTGGGATTCATTCCCCCCAGAAGCGGGTAATCATATCGACTCTGAGTGGCCCCCTATTTCCAGGCTCTGCACAAAGCCAACAGGGTACGCACAATATCCCTCACCCCTCCTTCGAATTTCCGCCGTATCAGCCATTTACCTTTGTATTTGTTCTAGTCCCGCCACAGCTTGGAAGGATTAATTGTATGTTACCTATATCTCCCCGAAATAGATGTACGAATCGCGAAGTCAAGGTGGAAGGATCATTTTAATTGATCCTTTTGTGGTGGCCCTGACCTCCTCTTGCTCCAATCAGATCTGACTACGTAGTAAATCCACAAACACAGAAACCCCCCAACGAATCCAGGCTAAGGATTTACGATCCGTCCAGCTAAGCTGCCATCCCACCCTATCTAGCCCACTCCCTCCCCTCCAATCAAGCCAATGACAAGCCGAAAGCCTTCTGCGACGCTCTGGCACACACCATCCTCTTTTCAGTATCACCACTCTTCTTACCCCCCTTTGAATTTCGAAACCTTTTCTACCCAGTATTCCGACTGGTCTTCCCAGGTAGAAAAGCCATCGACGACATTAGACGCCCACCTCCAGGTCATTGAATTCTTCGTGGCTATAGGATCTATTCGACAGTGGCAGTGTGGCGGATTCTTTAAAGAAAGTCAAGACCTTTATAGACGCGAACCCCAATGAAATGCTGACCCTTCTTTTTACTAACTCGGAGGGGGTTGTCTGTAAAGGATGTATGGAAATCGGCATTTGACAACTCGGGTAAGTCATCCTCCATCTTCGTTTATTTCATCAGTCACTCTGGGCAGGTATCAACCCTTTAATCTACGTCCCCCCAACCCCCTCAGACATTTGGATTGGCCAACCCTGGGGGAGATGATCGACAATGGAAAGTGAGTTCCATGGTGCAGAGGTCCTCGTCATCCTTGTCATCGTTCCCAAGGGTCATATGGGCGGTGAAGGACGGGGGCCACCACCTTGCGTGAAGAGATCTTTGAGGGCGTCGTAATTGATCCGTGTACCTGTACTTATTTGGGATTCTTCTTAAGGAGGTCGCGCACCAATCGCGCACAGATTCCGCGGTTGTTCCTCCAGCAGTAGTAGACACGTCTCAGGGAAGCCTCAATTATACAAAAAATATCGATTGAAACGAAAGACAGGCCATTTGATCCGTTGTTGCTTACTCTTTCTTTGACTTTCTCTTCTCGTTGCAATATTTTACGACTTTCGCTAAAATATTCTAGGACCACAAAAGAAGGTAAGAATTTTTGGAAGTGAAGCTCAGCACAAGTAAAAGATTATCAGCTCTGCGCTCCAAGCTAAAGCCACTCCTTGAACATATGTTGATAGATTACCTTCACAATGTGGACCAAAATCACATAGCCCATGACCATGGCCGCCAAGAAGCCATAAAACTCTGGTTTAGGACGTGACATCCCCAGTACAGCACTAAGCTTGGGAATGTAAGGAATGGCGAATACTATGCCACTGACCAAAGTAGTCAGGGCTACAATGGAGACAGATGCTCGTGATTGGATAAAGGGAATTTTTCCTGTTCAGAGGAGTTGGATAATAAAGAGCTGACGGAAAAAGGGCCCAAGCATCAGGACCTTGCTTCGTTTTTCGGACCGAGACACACACCTGAGTTATTGCACCCTCCAAAAACCAATTAGTCTGGGCAAGCGGAACCAGGGGAGAATGTTGGTCTTGGATTCCAAATGGGTACCTGGGCGTGTCATGAGCTATTTCAAAGAAAGGGAAAGAATGTGAAACCCACCAATTGATAAGGAAGGTACAAATATCGAATATGCTGTAAGTTGGGCCCAAAAAAATCATGAAGCATGCAATTGACCTGGCATTCCAAGTGGTTGGAGCGGTGAGATATTCTGGGTCGACGTTATCCCTGTGCGCACACCAGTCAGGACGAACTGATGACAAAAGACGACGAGCTCTACCAAGGAATTGTAGCCTGGGAGGAATCATACAGCAAGTTTTGGAAGAGAAGCTGGAGTGGTTGAATTGGCTGGTAAGGCAACCACGCTAAGGCGACTAACGAATTAAACAAACAAAAGACGTATTATTTCGAGAAACCCTTGAGTCGAGAAACACTAACCGAGGACGGAGAAAACATTGTTAAAGTTGGATGAGGTGGCCATCTTGATGTACTTGATTGTATTGATGAACCTGATACACAGTTCAAAAGAATTCAAGAATGAGAGAGAAAGATACACACGTTTGTCTGCCTTACAAAACACGATGGGCAATGGCATCAAGACTTTTTTCCAACAGAATAACATCGGTGGCCTCCTTGGCGATCTCGGTTCCCGAATCCACAGAAATCCCAACGTCAGCCACGCGAATCGCCAAGGCGTCGTTAACTCCATTGGCTAAAAATGCGACAACTCCGCCCCCTCCACCACTACGTAACCCTTCCACGACTTGAAGTTTCTGATGAGGACCTTCGCGAAAATAATGCACCATTCCAGAGCCACATCAAACTTTGCGGCTTGACCAGTGGAAAGTGCAGCCAGCTGTGATCCCGTAATCATCAAGTCTTTCTCGTCCTCTGGGATGCTGAGGTGATCGGGGGAGGATGACTTGGAAGGAAGGATACCAAGATTTCGGGCGACTTTGGCAGGGAGCGTCGCCAGTGAGAATTTTGACCTGTTCTCCAAGTTAACATGCTATGGTTCGGTGACAAAAATAAACATGCCTGGACACCCAGCTTAGCAAGCCTATCGATTGCCTCGGAAGCATCGGGTTACAAAGGATCCAAAAAGCCAACAAGTCGAATGAAGACAACCGTCGGTCACGTCATCAGTGTTCAATGTCATAGAAAGCAGGGCAACCGACAATTTACAAGCTACGGCAACAAGTCAAAGTCCTTCTCCATTGAGCCTCTCAGCCGTGTCAAAAATTCACTGTCCAGCATCGACAGTGAGCGGCGAGGCCTTGTTGGGCTTGAAGTCGTCCAACTTGGTGGATGCAGATGGAGAGGAGGAAGACGAGGCATGGTTGTACATTTAAGTGCAGCGGTCAAGCACTTCCTTGACTGCTCCTTTGGTGACCAACAAACCCTTCTCGTCGATTCCCGCTTGAAGGTGAAAGACGAAAACTGAGAGCAGGCGACATGTAGAATCAAAAGGAACTTCGGCCAATTTGTTCCACTCCTCGATTTTTGACATTGTTTTCAGCTTCACTACCGCCGCCCTCAGCAGGCTTGAAAGGTACGTTTTTGAAATTTGAAGAAGTTGATGATGGCGCGATCGACGGGCCCCATGGTTCTAGTTTGCAATGCAGGGTTCAGTTAGGCTAGCTTAAGGGGCAGATCTGAAGGCTCCCCAGAACTGGGAGTCAAGCCAGATACTCGGACGAGGTCAATTGTCAGAGTGCCCGTCTTATCTGAGCAGAGGATATTGACAGCACCAAGGCTTTGAATCGCCTCAAAAACTTTGACAATCACTTTTTTACGTGCCACTCGCACGGCCGAGTGTGCAAAATTGGGGCCTACGATGTCAACTCGATATGGTGCATAGACCAAGTGGGGTGAACTCACCACAACCTTGGGAAGCATTTCAGGTGTGATACCAACCACAACAGATATGGCGAAAAAGCCAGCGCCCATCTAGCCCTTACCTGCTTGAATTACAGGTACCATGACCTATCATTTAACCATCCTCATTAGTTCCGAAAGTTCATCATAAGGAAAGATGGGAAACTTACTGCCATGAAAAGCCAATAAGAGATAGCTGACCCTCCTAACACCAACCTGCATAATGTTGGGGGGAAGTAGAGGTTCGACACGTATCCAATGAACACATGCATCGGCACAAGTGGTCGAGAATAAAGTGGGAAGGTAGAGTTTATGCACCCGAATTGCAATTCGAGGGATGGGTGGAGAAATGAGTGGAGTATTGTCGGTTGGTGGAGTACTGACTGTAGAGTCTCCTTGAGGATGGACACCAACGACGGGGACTGTAGGGCGAAGAGGATGGAAATAGGGGGAGACGGAAAAGCTTTCTCTGGGTCGGGCGGGTCTTGGGTCAATTCCGGCGGGCGTTCCCTCTCGTAGTTCATTAGCAGGCTCGAGATATTCATGCACTGAGGAAAGCGCGATAAAATAGCGTAGTCTGAGGGCGGCGCCAGAAAGATTGGCAACGGATCGGGAGTTGGGCCCGAAAACCACGTGAAAGGCGTGACGCGTCACAATATCTTCTCCATATCCTCAGCCTTGCATCTTCGGAAGAAATTTTTATTATATTCACAATCTAAGCCATAGTTAGATGTTGATGTTATTGAAGAAGAAATTTTGAATTTCTTCTTAATTTCCTCGCTGATATTATCCCTGAACAATTTATTATTTTATCTCTGATTTATTCTCAATATCTTCTGTGAATAAATAGGCCAATGCCCCCAGTGTGTCACGTTCATCCGCCAAAAAATGTGACATTTGTGACCGCCGACTGAGGGTCTGCCGAAGTACTGATAGTATAGCATAGTACTGTGGTATTTCGACCGACTGTTCGGTCACTCGTCACATCGAGCTGTGAACCGAACAGATCTTGGCCCTGTCACAGGTCACTTGGAAGGTCGAATAGGGTGACATTTTACCCCAAAAAGGAAAGTCTCCCAAAAACTCAATTTTTCCGCTGCGCGGCGTACATTTATTACAGAATTATATACCATTCACTAATCTGGGAGGCTGTGAAGGAGGCAAGGAGGTCGCTACTACATGCCATGTCAACTGCTCAATGAACAGTTGCTGCTGGCCGAACACTTTTGTTGCTATGTCACACAGTCATCCCAATTCCGAACACCTCTCCCATCTGTTCGGGGCCGTCACGCGTCACATCGGCTGAACAGTTGGTCGAAATACCACAGTAGTTCCCTCCTACCTTACCCAAGCTCAATAAAGTCAAGACGTTGCCCGGCGGCATGAAAAAAGCGGACCTGAAAGCGTGCACTGTCATCGACTCCGATTACAAAGTTGCCAGTATAATCTTTGGTCAATGCAAAAACATGCGACTCGGAATGCGGCGAGTGGCATCCTTTAGCTTCCAAAGGGGCCACCAACCAGGCCACTATTCAAGTGTGCGTTAAGTCCGCCATTGAGGTAGGTGGCCATGGACGGCGCGTTGACTCCCATGGTATTTATATAAAGGGGGAACGTCCTTTCATTTGCTCTCTCACCGTACTCTACGACTCTGGTTGATTTTCTTGGAATGTCACGGAGTCTACGCGTGCCTGCGCCCCTGGGGCTACAGCCTATGCGCCCGGAGAACAGGGAGGAACTGGCTGGGTCTGCACATCACCTGGACGATAACCTTAGCCCTAACGCGAAGAACGTGCCCTGGGACACGCTTAGTACTCATACTTCTGTGAGTTTTCTACGGCCGTTTCTACTTGTCATTAGTTCATCGTCGTGTTCGCACATACTAGGGTAGTGCCACCTCGTCGAGCCGTTTCGCGTCACACAGTGATCTCTCAATCCTCTCATCAAAATCTGTTCATCTACCTGATGACTCCAAACTCACTGCAAATCATGTTGAAAGTGACTCGGAGGACGACAAGGAAAGCAGAAGAGATTTGAAATTCTGGCGTTTTGCAACTAAGTGAGCAATTTGAATACTGGCTTTTGATTTTCTTCGTTGACCCGCAGGTGTTGATCGCAGGAAAAAAGCAGCCTCGCCTCGAATTTTGTCTAAAAAAGCGAGCCATGAGTCAGGGAACGCGCCAGTCGGCCTTAACGTACTAAAGAAGAAATACAAGTCCACTTCCGATATGGCTCGATTAGCACGCGCTCCACCCCCACCTTTGCCTGGAAAAATGGGAAATGAAATACCACCTCCTGTTCCAGAGAAACCCAATGGTCTTATCGCTATTTCACCTGTGCCCTTCACACCGATTTCTCTCTTTCAAACAATTCCTACCGACGTAAATGCCGACGACGCCATGAACGACGTTGCGGTTCCGTCCTCCGTCTCCAGAGACGCTATGATTTTGACGGCCAATTTTTTTAACGACAACACCGCAGAACTACAGGCTTTACGCCGAATTCCGTATCAAACGAAGCCAGCGCTCTGGAAGCCTGACCCTTCTGTTTATCTTGCTCCTCCAGCCTCCGCGCCCGTAATTGGATACTCTCAGGAGCTTCACTCACCGCTGGAATGCAAGAAGAGTGTTACAACCCCCAAGTCCAACAGGCATGCTCGCTGGTACGGAAAGGGCAAATTTAATTATGACGCTTCGGACTCGTTCTTGGATCTTTAGTCCTTTTGCCTGAAAACTCTGCGCTCTCCATTATTATGTAGTATTGATTGTTAATAGGCTTACGTCTGTCTGCTTTGTAGTCGCCAATAACTGTACTCTAGTGGTACGTCGCGTCAGGGCGCGACTTCAATTAATATTGTACCAGCGCGTCGGTATCATGTGACCGTAACTTTCCCTGCAGCAACCATTGTTCCTTCATCTCAACCAAGTTTTCTTGTTTCGATTGTCCTTTGCTTTATATCCCCGACAGCCACTCGCCTGCTAGTTGTGTGCTTTAGTCCCAGTTTTCTTGTTGCTCTGGGTTTCCTTGCCATTTCGGCTAATATACCAATCGGGCGGTGCCGGTTCAATTAGGGACGTTTGACTCAACTGCGTCAGGGTGTACGCAAGCACACAGACGCCCTTTTGGTCATGAAAGCCATGAGGCTGTATATTCTCCTTTTGTCGCGCCACTCTTGGAGTCCTTATAACTTCCTTGCGTTTGTTACTCTCCCCCGCCTTCTTCACCACGATGAGTGCTGTCGAAAATGTGAACCACTCATCAGGCGCTACATCTCTTGAGCTGACAGAACCCGCCAGCAATCCTTCGCTGGACGGTCAGGATTTGGGTAACTATTTATTGCACTTCCTTTTTTTTTTTCCATCCTTACAAAATTTGCTACAGGATCTGAGCTTCCTATTGGAATGGAAGTAGAACCTCCATCGTTGGCAATTCAAATACCAGCTCGAACGGCCTTGACGGCCTTCAACACGGGTGAGAAAGGAAAGGGGAAAGATGTGGGGTACCACGAAACAGTCAGTTGTCACGAGCACCATCGTCATTGCCTCTCCATTTCATCTGACAGGACAAGAATTCTGGCTTACCCCCGTACTTTAAAAAGCCACTTAAACGTAGGTCACATGGAGAAATCATTTTACATCATCGCTCCAAGTCGGTTCCTCGAGTTCGGCCCCCACCAGTCGACCTTCTCAATTACATCCCTACCAAGGTGCTCCAGGCTCCGTCGACCTTACCACCGTCCGCCAGCGGACCCATTCGAACTGCCAGTTCTCCTGAATGGACTACAGCAATGGGTGAGACGAGGAGACACCGCCGCTCAAGGAGTTTGACGTTGCTACCCAGCCCTTTACTTGCTTTTGCGGCTCTTCCACCCGTCGCAGCAACACCTGAGGATGTTCCTGCCCCGCCTGGCATTCCGTCATCACCCAGGCCGACTCCTAGGAGCTTGCCCATCGCAGAATTGCCAACTAATGAAGACAATCCTCTCCAAGAGATCCAAGAACCCATGGGCTTGTGTGCTATGGTTCTCAAAGGTGTAGATGATCTCATTTCTAGAAAGAAGCGCGATCCCTATGCAACAACGATGATTACATTTGCTAATCCCGAGAGGAGTCAATACCCTAGCCAGGTCTGGGCCCTTCTACCGGATCGTCGCCGTAGAACTTTTCAAAGGGTTCTAAAAAGTATCCCTCAGCGCTCTCGGAGGTAGGTCTATTCAAAGTGGCAGGATTTGCATGTTATAAGCCTTTCTAAAATTTTTTTTTTCAAGGGTATGTGAACGATATCAAGAAGGCATATTTTCCAACCCCAAACACTGCCGCGAATGCCTTGGAGATACTCTTTGCAAAAATCTTCTGGTAGTGCGTGCTAAACGTAGACGTAATTACACGTCTCTTATCTTGCCAGTTGATGACGCTGACTGAAGACCAGGTTTGGAGAATCTCTTCGACCGGCGTCGGCCCCCCAGTTCCCCTCATTGCCATGAATGTGCCCTCTATGGTAGGGCTTGCAGAAACGAGCGGCCAACGCCACAAGTCGATTTATATGCCATGAACGTCGATTTGAGTGACTCTTTGCTCTTTAGCCGAGGAGATGAAGAATATCTTTTGAAGAGCCCTGTACTCCGGGATTCTGATAGCTTCGACGATGACGCCGACTCTAGTGGTGCGGACAGCCCGATCATTCGTGATCTAGACGAGTTTGATGAAGATGGATATGCCGGTGATGAAGATGAGCCCATGGACAATGAAAACGTCGACGATGATATGGAAGTGGCTGCGCTAGACGTCGTATAATCGACGGGCATTCCATTCAAGTTAAATAAATAACACATGCATGTCGTGAATTCCAATTTGTACTGTACATATCGATCCTTTCTGTATTCCGACCCAAAATGAAAGCTTAGAAAAGGTTATAGACTCTCGAAAGGGGTAACGTCGTCGCAGGCTCTATATCCATCAACTCCCCATCAGCGCGCACCTCGTAGCTCTCAGGATCAACCGTCATCTTCGGGGTCGCGACATTCCACTTCATATCTTTCTTCGTCACGGCCCGACACCCGCGCACGGCCTCGAACCGTTTTGACAAGCCATACGACGCGATTACCCCAGAAGTGATAGAGATCTGGGACACGAATGATACGGAGTTTAGCGAGGCGGATCGTGGTTTGGCGCCCCACATTGGCTTGGAGTAGAACGGCTGAACGGTGGGTATGGATGCGTTGGCATCTCCAATCTATTTTGTGGGGAGCAAAGATCAATCAGTCATCGTGTGACAAGTGAAGTGAGGTAGATACGGACCTGCGCCCAGACGATCACGCCGGACTTGAGCACCATCTCGGGCTTTGACCCAAAGTTTTCTGGTTTCCAGAGGACGAGATCTGCCAACGTGCCAACGGCAACATGTCCTACAAGGTGGCTTATCCCATGCGTGATCGCGCTTTCAAACCAAACCAGTTCGTGAGTTTCGTGAAAAGTCAAGAATGGAGAACAGAGAAGAAACCCACGGGTTAATGGTGTATTTTGAGATATATCTCTTCACACGACCATTATCTTTACCCTCCACATCTCCCAAAGATGTCAGTGGGCCCCTGAACTCACGAAGCTTGCTCGCCGTCCTCCACGTCCGACTCACAACCTCCCCAACGCGGCCCATGGCCTGTGAATCTGAGCTGATGATGGATATAGCTCCGCTATCGTGAAGAACGTCTTCTGCAGCAACGGTTTCAGCTCTGATGCGTGATTCGGCAAACGCGAGATCTTCAGGGATGGATTTGTCGAGGTGGTGGCAAACCATTAGCATCTGTGTGTAGTGTGTGAGTTATGTATCATGTGGTGGGTGGATGTGGGGAGGAGGACGTACATCCAGGTGTTCTTCTAGGGTATTGTTGGTATATGGGCGAGTTGGGTTCGTGGATGACGGGAGGACGTTCTCCAGCCCGCAAACTACGATAATATCAGGAGCATGTCCGCCACCTGTATAACGTTAGAGATGCAATAAATACTATTTCAAAATAGAAAACTCACCTGCTCCTTCGCTGTGGTATGTGTGAATGGTACGTTTTCCAAATGCAGCAATGGTACCTACACATTGAAATCAGTCAAAACTCCAATGAACAGGAAGAGAAAAACATACTCTCAACAAATCCACTCTCATTCAAGGTATCTGTGTGTATATTAACCTGCCAACCCAACCACTCAGCAACTCGCAAACAACCACAAAAAAAAATCCCACACACACCTGAACATCATACTTATCCGCAACATCCAAGCAATTCACAATCGCAGCTGGGGTAGACCCCCAATCCTCATGCAACTTCAACCCCCCAGCACCAGCCCTAACAACCTCCTCCACCGCCATCGGCCCCGCATCGTTCCCCTTGCCCGTAAACATGAAATTCATCGGCAGCTCATCCGTCGCCGCTAGCATATGGCGCATATAAAAAGGGCTACTAGTACACGTCGTCGCGTTCGTTCCCGCACTAGGCCCAGTCCCGCCCCCAATCATAGTGGTCGTACCAGCCGCGAGGGCTTCCTCGACTTGTTGTGGGCAGATGTAGTGGACGTGTGCGTCGATGGCTCCGGCGGTGATGATGAGTTTTTCGCCGGCGATGACTTCGGTTGAGGAGCCGATGATGAGTGCAGGGTGGACGTTCGCCATGACGTCTGGGTTGCCGGCTTTGCCTATTCCTGCTATGAGTCCGTCTTTTACGCCGATGTCTGCCTGGGTTTGGGGTTAGTTGGCGTGTGTGCATTTGAAAAAGGTAATACCTTGTAAATGCCAGACCAGTCGATGATGAGTGCGTTGGTGATGACTAGATCCAGAGTTTCCGTGGAAGAGCGGTTGGTCGCTTGTCCCATACCTTCTCGAATCGATTTACCTTGTGCACATCATTATATTAGAAAGGTATAAAAAACTGATGATAGAAAGACATACCACCGCCAAATTTAACCTCATCCCCATAAACAGTCTCATCATGCTCAACCTCAATCCACAACAGCGTATCCCCAAGCCTAACCCGATCACCCACAGTGGGGCCAAACATCGAAATATACTTCTCCCTCCCAATATCCGTATCCTCCTGGACTTCCAACGCCCCAGGTTCAGGCACATGGGAGAACCCACGCTGCAGCAACCCAAAGATGATATCGTCCGTCCGCGATAGATCCACAACACCCGTAGCCAGGTTGTTGCCTCCAGAGATGATACGTGTGCCGGCGATCGACACGAGGGTGACGGATTTCACGTCTCCAGGCTCGAAGCGGACTGCGCTGCCCGCTGCTACGTCTAGGCGCTTACCGTATGCTTTAGCACGATCGAAGGAGAGCATGGGGTTGACTTCGATAAAGTGGTAGTGCGATCCGATCTACATTACGGATTGCGTGAGTTCTATGAATTGATTTTGGGGTAAGCAGAAGTCGATACCTGAACAGGTCGATCTCCATTATTGGTCACCCTCAACCGTACACGGTCCCGCCCCTTGTTGAGTATAATCCTCTCCTTTTTGGAGATAATGGCACCAGGGACTTTCTCAGACGCGTATTCGGATTCATCGAGCAGCGGGAAAAGCGTCTCGGACGGAATAGGCAGGAAAGAGCCGTACAGCGCTGATTCCAGGTTCCCAGAGTCCGTGCAAATGGGGTCATGAACCGTCACCAAAAACACTCTAACATTAAAACTGTCGGTCTCGAGCCAACTCCTCTCGTGTTGGAGACGTACCCGTCTTGAAACGTTCCCTCGACCTGTATCTCGTGCAAAAGCGCCGGGACGCTTGGCAGGACGTGGCGCCGGCCCAGGAGGGTTTTGCCATGGTGCATGAGCTCCGCTACGGAATATACACCATCCCTAATGCGTTCTTGCAGCTGTGAGGCGATGAGGGCGACTGTTTCCGTTTGGTTCAGGCGCAAGCCCCTTGCTAAACGTTTTTGGGCTAGAAAACCTGCCTTTTGGTGTGATTTGTTTGTTGGTATATTGGTAGCCGAGCCAAGGAAATAGACTCACCTGGTGAAGCAGGAGTTTCGCCTCTTCTCGAGGCAAGAGATGCATTTTGAGAGGAGAGGGCCTGTTCTGGGGAGTAGAGGCGGCGTTCTCTCAAGTGATAAGGGAAAGCATGGAGATAAGAACTTGGAAGATTGGGCAGAAGGCCAGATTAGATTAGATGGATACTTTTCAGCTCCCACACTTGTTTGAAGTTGTGGGTGTGCTGTTCGACACGTCCCCCAGCTATCTTTTGTGTTTCGTACTTTTGTTTTCCTTCGTCAGGCATATCCAGTCCTTATTATTCCTCACGCCGGTCTCAATTGCACAACAACATTCAACCTGTTCATTCTGTATGTATTCCTTGTTCTCCTCTCAGAATACCGGCCGACGTCAATTTGACTCTTTCTGTCTTTGTGACTACAGGACTCGCGGTGGATGAATTCAATTCACCGGTTCATTGTCTCGGTCTGTCAGTGCAGCATACAGAAACTCCGCGAATTGCTGCCTTGATCAAGTGATGCGCCTTACACCCGACCAAATCCCGACGATCCCGCCTCCGCCGTGCTCGAACGGGTATCCAGGTACTGCGGAATGGGCGAGTCATTGTGGTATCGCCTCACGATGAACACGTTTCCCAGGTATTATTGACACCCTGTTTGCTTTAGCCTGTTCGTGCGTCTATCAGTTGGTTCTTGAACCAGCTTTCAGTGGTCCAAATTTATCTGGCGTGTGTACACACCAACTGCTACCAAAGACGAAACGAGATGAAGCAGCGTTGTGCCGGTTGCGCAACTGTTCTGAAAGTCGCCGACTGTCACTGACTGTGACATTTCGCAACCAAACACGACCGCGACTTTGCGGGGTGCCAGGGGTGTCCTCATATATTATGTAATGTAATTTTAGGTGTAGAGACTTCTGAGATTTCGAGGTGGATTTGACTTTCTCACGATCTACAGTTGACTGTGAGTCTGTGACCTAAGGTCGGTGACGCAGAACAACTGTCACAAGTAGCACGCAAAATGGATTGTGGTAGATACGGAACATGATATAGAGGAATCTAGAACAGTGGTAGATACAGAATATGATGTAGGAATAACTGTGCAGCGTTAGAAGACCGTGCAGTGCGATATAGCACATGCCCAGAGGTAGGACCCCATGGCACCGCGCAAAGTTGCGAACGTTTGACCGTTGACGACCTTTGGTGACTCTCTCACGATTTACGGTTGGTGACTGTGACCTCAGGTCGCCGACCCGCACAACGCTGAGATGAAGCGATGAAACCTTTGGAAGGGAAGGTGTGGCCATGTGGAGCACCGCCACTCCTGATCCGTGTTTGGCTGACTAAAAAAGGGAAGGTGAGTCACTTTCACACAAAGTTATGTTTTGTTGTGTGTTTTTGCTTGTTCCCAGGCTGGGTACGCTTTTGTTCTGAGCCACGATATCAACTCGGACAGAGTCAAAGGTAAGGCTGCCACTCCTACAAATGTCTCTGCTTCAGTCCTCTGCATCCACTCTCCCCTCACCCGCTCCCCAGCAGCCCTCCCCTCCCCGAAAGCGTACTTCTTCCTTCTGCTACCCCAGCCCAGCCTTGTCACCCAACCCAAGGCCCGTTAAAGCTCAACGCACAGAGCCTCCTGCACAAATGGGCTCCTTACGCCGCACAGAGACGCTGCTGGTCTTGCCCACCATGTCCACAACGGCTTCCTCATCCACCACCCCAACGCCACCTGCCCCTGTACCCTACCACCGTACGCTGCAGTACTACAAAGACCAGCGCCAGCGCCGCAAACGCGCCGCCGATGTACCCACTACACACATAGATCCTCCCCATGTCAATCACGTTGCTCCGCAGCAGCAAGTCCAGCCTTCGCCCCATTCACAGCCTCAGCCCGCACCACAGAGAACTGGGAGATCAAGAACGCCACGTCGCCAGCAGCAACCACCATGCCCATTACTCACACAAATCATCCTCCCCTCCGTATCTAATCCCGTCGTTCAGATTCGCACATTCCGCTCCTCCTCTCCACTATCACCCACCCGCACCGCCCTCCCCGGCCGCCCAGTCTTCCCCCGCTCAAAGGCGGAACCAGACCTATACCGCAAAGCTATCATCACGCGCATGCGATGTTCCCCAGAGGGCCGGAAGATTCTGCACATGGGCCCGAGGCTCGCGCTGTCCATCATGACCGCAACCAAGGAGCTCGAACGTATCGTTGCGGATCAGCACGAGAAGGACGGGGATGTGGTCATGGCTGATGTCACTGTTGCGGATGCACCCCCAGCCCCAACATCCCTGGCTCCGCAGCAACTGAAGGGGTGCAGTGCCCTCCCGGTGTTGACCAACTCTTGGGTCGTTGTCAAGGGTGACGATTGGGAGATGGTGGATTGCGGAGCGTGATCGACATTGACGTGAATCCCACTCACCACCAAGGAGTAATTTATCAACCAAGGACTATCGGAATGTTGTTTGTATTCAGCTGTATAGCTCGGTGGATCGTTTCCCCCTTCCTTCGTTCCTCTCTCCCTCCCACACTGCCTACCTACACACCGCACGACACCCACGGGGGACTTTTTCATCTATCTTATTAATATTGATGCCTTGCAAAGTTGCAGGTCTTCTTGTGTTCTTTGTTCTCATTCTCAGGTTGTTTGTTGTCTCTACCACCACTACTACTACTCTGGTTTCCTTGTACCCTCCACACATGCAATTGTATTACCTACCTCACGACACACGATTATTCACCAACTACTTTACTTGCTAAGATTACTCTTACTTTGGTCCTTTGCGATAATCAGCGCCCGTACCCAATCGTAAATGATGACTCGAATGATCATTAGTTGGCGCTGCCGTAAGTGACTCGTTGACAGGTTGACTCGAGAAATGTCTGACTGCGGGCGGGCGCAGGTGTGTAAATGGGGTAAATAAAGCTGCAGGGCGCGTAAACGAAGAATCAGATGACCGCGAAGTTGTCAGAGTGCGGCGCGCCGTTCCGAGGATGTGCTGTTTATAGAATGACGTATTTAGGCGTTTGAAGACGAGTACAGGGATAATGGGTAACAAGATGAGGCTGTACGGTAAGTACGTGGTACAACGGAACAGATAAGAACAGATACGCCATTGGTATACAAAAGATACTTGGACAGGTTGTTGTAAGATCACGAAAAGACGGAACACCATAATTAACTTCACCGACGGGAGAACCCTTCTGGGTTGGAAGCTGCACCACGCGCCCTTGCTTGGTACACGTATGCTCCGTCGGCCGCGCTGGAGTTCGAGTCAGTGACTACGCCCCGTGTTGTTGTAGTAAGTAAGTTCCGTCCAGTGCCACCTGCGTGACGCGTCGCACCGAGCAGTTGATAGTTATTCAGTCGGACCGGGTTTTGGTAGAGTAAGCAGTTGATTACGATCAGCCTTCGCTGGGGGAGCTGACTGGCCGTGAGTGTATCGTATGAGTACAGTGCCACTGAAGTCACTGATTTGGATCGGACTTTGCCAGTGGTACGTATCGAACTTCTGGAGTGCGCCGGGAAAACTTGCGAACTCGTGGAGCCTGGAGTGTGGTATCTAGAAGAGTCGACGTGATAACACCAAGCCTTTCAGACCGGAAGTGTGACGGGACACGGCAGCACTGGTATTGATGTACTGTGTGCATTGAAGTTCAAGTACCCAGCCCTACTAGGCAAGTATGCTCCGTCTAGTACCTGTCATCCGGGTTGAGTTGAGTCACTGATTCTCGGACCAAATTTTGGTAAGGAAGTGGTTGACTAAGGTGTATGCGAACTTTCGAGTTGTGGAGCATGGAGTGTAATTATCAAGAAGCGTTCGCTGGGATTATTCAAAAAACACCACTTTTTGTTGGCTGGAAAGATTTATGTTAAAGTTGTGCACACTGCAATGTTGCAACACCTGCCACTCGGACCGATTCTCGTACCGTAGAGAGACAGAAACGGCTGACTGAGACCTGAAGGTAGCGAGCGTTGGCTCGGACTCTTCGGGGTACACCCACGCTCCATTCATAGTACGCTTGATGGGCCAAGATAGTGCTCCTACACGTTAAAATTGTCCCCTTTACGCTCCATCCAGTCAAACGCGAGTCTGGTTCTCGGTCCATGGATGCAGGCGATCCGGCGAACTTGTGAAGCTCGAACTGTAGCGATACTTCTGCTCTAGTAGACGCGTCGACTCGAGCGCGTAAGTGTTCAGGGCACCCCAAACTCTGAATGGAATCAAGCCGTTCAAGACCAAGACTTTGTATGTCGGAGTTACAGCTTCACAGGCGACAGGGCTAAAGCGTCATCCAGTTCTGCACAACGCAGAGTGCCCACCAGTCAGCTTAAAGGAAGCTACGAGCGGCTAGAATGACAAGAACGGTAGGCGTCGCTACCGCCCTGATTGGCACTGACAGATCCAGTTCTAATAGGCACTTGCTTAATAGATCGTCTCAGACTGAGTGAATTACTCACGCAACGACTGGATATTTTTTTTCTTCTTGAAACAGTGGTGGCATACCTTTGCCGTTGCAGTTGTATTCAAGTTGACTATTTGCGAGTAGGATAAAGTGCACCACCAGGATTTGCAGGACATCCCATGTACGATTTCAGCGTGGACTAAGATGGACCTGGATACATCAGGAAAAAATGACTTGATTCAGTAGTTCTATATAGCCACAGTATTTATAATAGACTGGTATACAAGTCCCCCCATGAGTTGCTTCGGTAGTTCTCCCTTGCATTGTGGTAGGCACCAGTAGTCTTTCCTTGTATCGTAGTAGATACCAGTAGTATCTCAACACTTCAAGGTAGCACTGGGTAGTTCATGCCTACAGCAGCTACCTGATCTACTAACAATGTTTATTTTGGCACACATGCATAGGAGTCGCAAAATGGAAAAATGCATTGCAAAATGTAACTATCAAACAACTACTCAGATTTATCTAGACTAATCATTCCCAGTTCAAAAGCTCCACATGAACCCAATCTTTGGCAGCCCGGAAACGAGGCAAGAGGAGGCCGTGCGTCGAGGGAGGGCGGGGGCCATTCATCGCGTGATTGTGTGAGGGAGGGGAGGCCATTTGTTGGGGGAGTGGGGGAAACTATTCGTCAAGGGAGGGGGGAGCTGGAGGCGTGCATCCTAAACTAAATAAGGTGGCATAAGGAAGAGAAGCACAAAGATTTGAACAACTCGAAGCATACCTGCATTCATTGCATGATCGCGTGAGGAGGAGAGGCCATTTGTTGGGGGAGGGGGGAGACCATTCGCCGAGGGAGGGAGGAGCCGGATGCGTGCATCCTAAACTGAATAAGGCAGCATGAGGAAGAGAAGCACGAAGCTTTGAACAACTCGAAGCATACCTGATGACACCAAAGCACCATAACATGCCGCTATCAACGCAGATCCGAGATCGACAGGTCGGATGGCGCTAGATGGCTTTGTAAGTCTTCACGAGTGAAGTGGTAGTGTGAGTGGGGGGGGAGGGGTAGATGTGTTGATGCCGCGGGTGGTGGTGGTGGTGGTGGCGCGTTTTGTGTCTGTAAAGGAGGAGGAAGGGTTTGCGTTGAACTTGTTTCGGAGGGTGGTCTTCTAAAATTCGTGGCAGCAGCAGCAGGTCTGCGCTTGAACACGAATTTACTCCTTGGCACGTTTGGTACTCGCAACGCCTCACTGGAACGCTCCAGCTCCTTCAGTTGCTAGATAAAAATGTCAGACACCTCTACGAGGGCCTCGAAAATGCACTAACAAGTTTGTTCTGCTTCTGATGAATACTCAGCAAAGAGCCCATCGTGCCAGCGAGCGTCTTCGTCAAAATCGCGAGTGAGATCGAGAGTTCTTGAGGAAGCTGGTCGTCGAGGGAGGGTTCTCTGTGAGTCACATTCATTGAGGCTGTTCGTCAGAAAGGGCCCTTCGTCGAGAGAGGAGGCTGTTCGTGGATGGAGAGTACTTTGAGCCACATTCGTTGACGGGGGAGACCATTCATTGAGGGAGGGGGCAGACTATTCATCGAGGGAAGGAGGAGGCCGTTTGTCGAGAGAAGAGGCTGTTCGTCCTTGGTTCGTCGAGGGAGGAGGTCGTTTGTTGACTGGTGGGAAGGAAGAGCAATGAATTTCCGTGTTGGGAAACACGAAAGTCAACATGATCACATGATGTCGGAGTTTCAACGGACTTAAACGAATTGCTGACTGCCGCGTTCCAACCGCGTTCTTCATGATGTGCGTACTTTCTTCTTCAAGCCATATCTTCGTTACCATTATGTCTCCTCCAACACTTGCTTGATCTTTATGTATCTCATACACGATTTTTACAAGATTAATATTTTGCTGCATGTGTGCTATTACTTACTAAGTATACTAGCAATGGGAGCCTATAAGCCAGACTTTTGTCCTGGAATTTGCAGGGTGCTGCTGCATGGGAGTAGAACTCAGATGGCCAAATTGCCAATACTACCTGTGCAACTGATGATAGTGCAAGGTAAACTCAGGCAACTGATTCAACTGAGTTTGCTTGATGGGATATCAGGACTACTAGCACATGCCATATAATCTACTAATGTCTACCATGTCTATATCAGCCTACTGGGTATATTGTGAGAAGAATGAAGGCTACATATATGATGTGCAAACTACATAAACATTTTCTTTTTCCTGATGTAGCACACATATCGAGCTCAAGAACAAGGATGAGAAGGAAATTATACGTACCCTGGGCCTTCTCGAGGTGAGTGGGTAATCTTGTATAGAACGACGAACGCCCGCCGTCCCAAAACAAGGCCGGAAAGAAAAGCAGAGTTCTACTTGAGAGAGGTATAGCTACTATCAGTGACCAGGAGTTTGAAACGATTTGACCTTTGGCTGAATTATGCCACAACCGCTACACTCCGGGCCTCCAAATTTTGTGTGGTGGTGAATGTGTATCTCATGAACATGAATATATTTTTAGTTTTTTTATTGAACAGTGGTGGAAGCTGACGGAGGCGTACCGGTCGTCGAAGTCGATTGTTTCGGGAGATTGAAATGGCTGTCACGTCCAAGTCACATCCAACTGTCAGAATTTTGATAGGTGATGCAACTGTCAGGGTTCAAACGGCTCAGGTGCCATGTCTGGAACAAAATAACGCCTAATCGGGCGTTATTTAACACCCGTTTGGGAACAATCAAAAATTAACACCCAATTGGGATTGCCATCAAAATTAACACCCGAATAGGCAGGCAGCCTCTAGCACACACAATCTTCCACAAAACCATAACTTGCGCCGCAGGCTGAGAAAAAAAATACCTGTATTTTATGTTTACCTCTACTTATGTGGTCAGTAAAATTTGATAGGCAAAATGTCTGAAATCACAGTAATGTAGTTCTGCAACCTGGGAAATTTTAACACCCGATTGGGATTAACACCCAAATAGGCAGCTGCTCAAGCAGTTCACCTCCCTACAGGCTTTTCTTGTCGTGTTATGTGCCACAGGCCAGAAAAATATTTGAATAGCTCACTTTACTTGTGATAAATTGTAGGATACTCCAATTTGAACCCAGAATGCATTTTTGAACCATTGGGAAGAAATTTTGTGTTGTTCTGAGCATATAAAGTCAGTTCTACTCAATGCAATTGCTCATCAAAGTATGAGTCAATGCTAATAAAATATTTCAGGGTATGTGGAAGCACTTTACATACACTTCTCCTTCCTAATGGCATGTTGCCATCCAGCAGGCAACAAAAAAAGAATCAACAGGTAAAAAATATTGTTGCACTGCTATCAAATGCTGATACATGAGCTACTGGTATGTTATTAATATTTCCTGACATTGCCTTGAGCTTCATGTGCAAAAGAGTTGTACTTATATCAATATCTGGACTGTGTTACAATAAATCTATCCAAAATTGAAAATAAATCTGTCAAAATTGAACAACTTTTGCTCTTGATCTACAATTTTACATATGTAGTCAGGGTAAAGTACCCTACTTCTTAGATGCACATTTTTGAAAAAAATTGAAAAACCATTGACTGTTCCAGACATGGCTCCAGAGCCTATCAAACTCCTGGTCACTGATAGTATTGGGACAGCTGATGGAGGCATGTTGGGTCATTCCAGTGGTGGTTCAAAGGGTCGAGTCAACAGAAAACTAACACAAACAATAACTCAGATACAACTTGGACCCACAGATTGTGACCCGCCACACCAATTGCCCACAGGACGCGAAACTTCACCGTCAATACACACCCGTGATGGGAGGCCCGTCGGGAGTAATTTCTCGCAACATGGTGGCTGGGAAACCCATCGCTATGTACTTTGGAAAGATGGTAATCTGCTGGTCATCGAGGCTGAAACTGCTCAAGATATTGAAAATTCTAACTGGATTAATAGTAATGCACTCCACTATAAACTAGTAGAAGAGGAGAATTTTCAACTTGGTTTAATTGTATGTTTTTTTCTCATCAATCAGAAATCCGACTGAGCGCTGTCGAGTCGTTTTTCAGCAAAGCCTTTTGAGTGGCATAGAGTTTGGAAAAACTAATTGGGGATACTTGACCCGAGGCTCTGGGGGCTATCGAATTGTTAAGAAGGAGAGGCCCCTGCCCAATATTTCCTGTCCACTTTGGGCGACCTTTTTTTTTTTTTTTTTTTTTTTTTTTTAATGTCAAATTATAGTCTATTGGGGCAAGGCCCCATGTCAGACTTTACAACTTTGTAGACTACCTAAGGCCCCTAATGCCTTATACCTGACCCCCGTTGACTGTCCCCTGTACTGGTGAAGGCACGCCCGAGGCGTTCATTCCCCCACACAGCCCGGCACAGAAACGCCGTTTGGGAACACGTCGGTATGGTGAGCGGGGTAGTCTCGTATCCCTCTGCTTATCTGATGCAGTCTGAATGTGGTGTGTTTCTTCTTCCAAGTACCCGATCGCCATGCGAAGGGTACAGCTAATACGGGACGAGCGCAGTCAGGGAAAAGTGAGTTTTGTTGGTGCTTTGCTGCCGTTGGCTTGATTGATTGTCGAGCGCTGTCGGCCTGGCAGTATGTGTTTATCGCTTGATGTCCGCAAGCTGAGATGCAGGTAAAAGATAGAGGGGGGGTTTTGTGGGCGAGCCCGCCGGCAGAGAGCCGACTAGTCTGTCCAGACGTCGTTCCTTGATGTAGTGTACAACCTGTGAATATAATGTGCTATCTGTCAACCTTCCTCAGATTCCAACTGAGAGACGTCACCTATTGAATCCCCTAGCGACTTCTTGAGGCGCCCTGTCCGGCCCACGAACTTGAGCAGCTCCTTTATCCTCTTCATACTCCCCATGATCCCCTTGAGGTCCCTTGAATAGCGGCCCAAGGCTCTGTCCATGTCATAGCATTCTGCAGCATAAGTCTGGCACTCGAACAGGAAGTGGATCACTGTCTCTGTGATCTCCAAACGTCCTGCCTCCCAACACGCATCGCATCGCCTGACCCTCGACTTCTTGATATTGAAAAGGTAGCTGTTAAGCGGGATATGTCCTGTGCATATCTGTGTTAGTAGGCTGGCTTGCGGCCTTGATAGCTTGTTGCTGATCTTCCGGAATTTGTTGAATGGGAAGTCTGTGTCGATGTGTTGAAATCTTGCATAACACGGAGAGGCCGCCCACGCTTCCGCCCATCTTGCCTTCAATTTCCCTGTGAACTCTTGTTTGACTGCCGTGGCGCTGTATGGCAACCGCTTCCTCAGTAATGGCGGTAACTCCTCCCACGGGCTCGAATCCCCTAGCGCTGCCTTCTTCGCCTCTTCGTCGACCTTCTCATTTCCCGCTACCCCCTTGTGCGCTGCAACCCATTTGAGTGCGAATTTGTCTGTACCTGTCTGGATGGGGACATCAGTACCGTCAGTCATCGCTTCCGTCAGTCTCAGATACTCCATTACGAGGTATTGCCCCGGCTTCGTCTTCCTCGCTCCCATTGATCTGATGAACGCTTGACTGTCAGTGTAACTGGTCACCGTTGCCTTCCCCACCTCAGGCCGTCCCTGTAACATCCACGCCACAAGAATGGACCCAACGGCCTCACCCTCGTAGGTTGTGTGTTTCGTCAGAGGCCCCAGGTGAAAGCGCAGCGTCTTCTCTGGCTTGTCAACCCCTTTCCTGTATAACACTGCTGCAGCCCCCACGTGTCCCTCATACCCCGAACCATCTGTGTATATCCTTATGTCTGCATCATCCAGACCCTCCTCCTTGATAGAATCTTCCTTCGATCCTGCGATCTTGGCGGAAAACGGTCTCTTGTAGGTAGTTGGCCTGGTGTCTGGCATCACTGTCTCGAAGTGTTTGGGTCTGATCCTGAAACACTCGATTAGCTTCTGCATCAGGGCAAGGTGGGTCCTGGCCGGCGTCTTGCTGTATCCGCGAATCATAGCCCTCGTTGGGTGTCCAGTTGGTAGAGTCGCCATCCGTACCACTGCAGCGTGGCAAATCCTTTCCAGCAGCAAGTTCACAGGTAGAACCCCGGCATGCGCATCCAGCAGGTCGTTGGGTGCAGTCCACAGTCCCCCCGTGATTGCCTTTGTCGCTATCCTCTGTATCTTACCCATGGACTTCATCGCTCTGACTGATCCACTGTTGTTCCGCATGCCCTCCTTCTTGTTCAGAGGCACATACCATACATCGAGTGCATACGTCATCTTCGGGATGGCCACCGAAATGTACAAGAGTCGCATGAGCCTGGGCCTGATACCTAAACTTGTGCGGGTTAGCCTGCGAAACATAAGTATATAGAAAGTCGCCTTCGCCATGGCCTCATTCTCCTGCATCTTCCACCTCAGCTGATTGTCGACGTGTACCCCCAGGTACTTGTAGCTCTCCACCTCCTTTACCACATTTCCCCTTAGCCGGAGTACTGGGTTCGGCCTATCCCCATCCTTCCTCACCCTCGGCTGGCAATGCATGACGGCCACCTTGCTAATCTCAAACCTCGAATTGTGGTCCTTTGCCCAGTCGAAACCGCCCTCTCTCCTTTCCATGTAGCTCTTAAGCGCTTTTGTCGTTTGCTTTAGCGTCTTGGCTGTCGCTATGACCAGTGCGTCGTCCACATAGCCGATGGCATCTTCGTCCAAACGTTGAAGGGCGTCCAGCAGATCTGCATTGTAAAGGATATAGAGTAACATAGATATTGGGTCCCCTTGTCCTATTCCGTTTTCGATGTCGATGAGTTCTGAAATGAAATCGTCAAATTTGAGCCTGGTCGTCCTCCCCTGTAGGAGCCTCTCGATAAATTTGACGTAGGTCGTTGGTATCCGTCTCTTCTTCAGATTATGGATTAGTCTGTCAGTAACCGCGTTCGGGAAGGCCCCTTCGACGTCTAGAAAGAGCACCGAAGCAACCCTCCTCTTACCCCAAGCCGCTTTGATCTTGCCCACAAGGTAGTGGATGGCGTCCGTTGTGGTGCGTCCTGGCCGTCCACCAAAGTGCGTATCCGGCAGCAGAGACTCCTTCTCCACCAGGTGGCTGATGTTCTCTGCTACGATCGCCGTTAGTACTTTCGGAATCGTGCATAGCAGGGCTATTGGACGGTAAGCTTTTGGCACTTCGTAATTGGGTTTACCTGGCTTCCTCAGCACCGCCGTAGTGAACTCCTGCCACCCTGAATAGTAGGTTCTCAGCGCGAAGACGCCTCTGAAAAGATGTACTAGATACTCTGAGAGGTGTTCGAAACACTTCTGGAGCACCACATTTGGGATTTCGTCCGGCCCACTCGCCTTAAACGGAGATAGCCGCTTTATGTGACGTTCTACTTGTTCCAGGGTGATGGGAGGCGGTGGTGGGAGTGGCTCCGGATATTCATAGTTCAGCGGCACTCTGGAGTGGTCGGGCTTCTTGGGAAAGAAGGCTTGCGCGAGGATTTCTGCCTTACCATCGTTAGTGTTGATCTCCCGTAGTAGCCCAGCTGCGCCTTCTCCTGGAACCTTGAGCGTAGGTACTCTTGACTTTCCCCCGTCGCCCGTTGGTTCCTTGAAGTAATGATTCACCGTCCAAAGGTCTTGCTCAGCTGCGTTCTCCAGGAAGTCCTCCCAGTGTCCTCGCTTGGCTTCTACTATAGCTTCACCATACTCGTTCCTGGCCTTCCGTAGCTCTGTGTGTGATGCGTGATCTGGAAGGGCCCTGAACTTGTATGCGAGACGACTTAGCTTCTTTATCGCAGTCTTCTGACAGCTGAGATCGCTGTTCCACCACCTTTTCGAGAACGGGCAGGGCTTGTTTTCCGGGATCCTGCAGCGTATAGTGTCTTGTAACGCCGCTGTCAGGCCTTCAGCCGCCTCCCGGAATTGCTGTTCTGTAGTAATTGGCTGAGGTGGTGGTATCTCGAGGAGATGTATTGCCAGGTTCTCTTGGAAGTCTTCCCAATCTGCCGCTCTGAAGTTGTAGGACGTCCTGTTCTCTGAGCGCGTCTGTGGCAGGTCAATGTAAGTAGCTATGGGAAAATGGTCAGTGGCTGGAGGCCTTAGCGAAGGGTCAACCTCACATCTGATGATCAGGTCAAAAATTTCCTCTGTGCACCACACATTGTCAGGGCGTGAGTACTTTTTCGTTACCATGTGTTCTAGGGTGGGCTGACCCTTCGGCAGCGCCATCTTCAGATTGAGGTCGGCCAGTGCTTCGATCAATCGTCCCGCGTCGTCCAACGCCTTGGCCGTGAACAGCCTGTCGTCCGTTTCCTCGTCCCACATCGGGTGGTGCCTATTGAAGTCACCAGCCCATATTAAGTGATCATCCTCCCTCGACAAAACTTCCGCTTGGTTTACGCGTAAGAACTCGCGGACAGAGCGTAGTGTTCTGCAGTGCATGCAGTCGTTGTAGATATTGATGACCGTTAGCCGCCCATAAGCGCCTGTCATCTGTATAACCGTAACATCGTTAGTTCCAGGGACATTCATTATCTTCCATGAGCTTGTTGCCAGTGCCGAGCTGACCCAAGTGACCGCTCTAGTAACCGGAGCTCCATCCTTGTATCGGTCCGCTGGTGCCACTGACACGAAGCCGTTTGGTGTCCTAATGTTTCCTGTGAAGGTGATGTGCGGCTCCTGGACCAAGACGATGTCCCATTCCTTTCCTGATACCCTGTTATACAACTCCAAGTGCACCTTTTGGGATTTGTTTAAGTTTACTTGTAGGATCCGTAGTCTTGTTGGCCGTTGTTCCGGTTGTTCAGACATGGACAATAACTGCGGGGGAGGAGCTGTCAGTGGGAGGAGAGCCGTCGCTCAATGCCGCAGGGGCTTCTGGGGATTCTGGATTGGGGAAATGTGGGGGGGGGGGACTTAGCTGCAGGTGGCTTCGATCATTGACGCATCCGCGTTTCCCTGGTGTACGGTCTCCCACCTGGAGCCACTGAGTCGAAGTTTAGCTGTGTTTGCCTGTATCTACTTTTCTGTGAGCCTGTCTGAGCATAGTTTACCTGTATCTCCGCCGGTGGGACTCGTCGGCCTTGCGAAGGGTAGGATTGAGACCATGTCCATGTCTCTCTTGCCGGGAAGAAGGGAATGTCGTTTGCTGGGTCCCTTGCGTTGAGTTCGTCGACCTTCCTGAGGAAAGTCGGGCATCCGCGGTCCCAGCTGGTGTGGTCGTCCGATTTGCACGACGTACAGTAAGTGACCCCTTGTTGGTTGCACTTGCTGGTCCAGTGGTCCCTTGCCCCGCAAGTACCGCATACATTTACCTCCTTTGTGACCACACACTCCGCAACGATATGGTCCCATCCCTGGCATTTGAGGCATCGAATAGGCTCCTTCCTGCACTTCGCTACCGAGACTCTCTTGTGGCAAATCGACAGGCCATTGACTATTGCCCTGTTTGCTGTGTCCGCGTCCGAGAAGGTGATGATGACATGGGCGAGGCGCTGGTCGGGACGCCTCCGCATCGGGGGCTTGATCCACCTAATCTTCGTCAGTACACCTGTTGGGATTCCGTTAGTTTCTTCAATCTCCTTCCTGTCCTTCTCGCTGCTGGGGTCCAGGCTCAATGGCACGTAGTAGGCAATGACGTTGTATGCCCTCGTCTTGAAAGAGGCCTCTGACTCCCCCAGCTCCCGCAGGAAGGCCTCTGCGTTCGCCTTGGAAGCCAGCCACACTGTGCCATCGTCCGTGACCATTTCCACCAGTATCCCACCGTTCTGAAGCTTCAACGCCGATCTCATTTTGTGTTTCTGGCCCGTTGCCTTTCCCATCGCTTCTGAGAACTTGCCTACAAGAACCGTGTTGGCGCAGTCTCTGAGCTTTGAGTCCCTGGGTAAGTCGATGAGGGCCTGTCGCTGTCGGATGCTCTCCTTCGCCGCCAGCCTGGGATTGGTATCTGGCGGTGCTCCAGATGCCGACCTAGTTAGTGCGTCCCTGTAAGTTGAGCCCCCAATACTTCCTGCCTGTTGTGCCGCCTTTTCCATTACCTCCACTAACTCCCCTGTTTTCTTCTCCAGCGCCTCCGTTCTCTTCTCCAGCTCCTCCGCCACCTTCTCCTTCAGACCTTCCGTGTACTCTTTCAGGTCGCTCGCCATCTCGCCGAACTGCGTATTGGCGATGTTTCTGATGGTCTTTGTTACTTCTTCCAGCTCGATTTCCTTCAACAGATATGCGACTGCGCGGACCGCGTTGACTGCTGGGCGTCCGATACCCTGCATAGCCGCTATCTGGAAGAGGGCTGTCGAGAGTGCGTCCAAAGTGGGCGTCACGCCTGCTGGTACGAATGTGAGCGTCTCTTCGAGGTATATCTTGCCCTTTTCGGCATCGCTAATCTCCTGATTGTTCCCCTCTATCTCCGCCGATCCAGCCGCCCTCGTCCTTTTCCGTTCTTGTGGTTGTGCTTCTGCTTCGACAGGTTGGGCATGTCGTGTGATTGTCATTTTACCTTTGCTCGTCAGAGTCGTCTGTGTCCTGGGTTTTGCGCCAGTCCCAGACATGATCTGGGCTTGTTTTCTATGGGTTTGAAACTAGTTTTAACGTTCTGAATGCTGTATCTAGCCCGGGTGCTCGTTTTGTAGTCGATAAGTCGCCCAAAATTTTCGGGGTCCTAGTCGGGGTGCCACGTGGTTCCGGTCCAAGAAAGGTTTGGGCGACCTTGATTCACGAAGATGAAATCGAAGTTACCAAGTGGGTTGATGCGGCGCAAAGACGAGGTGTTTGGAATGGGAAACCTGTAGGTAAGGAACCCCAAGATTTATTCGTTGGAGAATAACAAATTTACACGATTTTTAGATGTTCCAGTGGCCAAAACGCGTGGAAGGCGCGATACACGGTCTAAAAGCCATACAAGATTTAGACCTTTCGAAATTTATGGTCATTTGGTTGGACGCAACGGAGAAGTAGTGGGAATCGTCTCCGAAGCTGCTTGGGGACGAACCATTGCCCTTGGCGACCGCACCCTTGTCTACGAAACATTCGCGAGGCTACAAGCACATGGCTGTTTATTCGTTGGTATCAGTACCGGTCAAGTTCTCATCGCAGATGGCAAAGTTCGCCTTTTGGATCTGTACCTCTCGATTGCAACCCCCGATTTTGGCCTCAGGCTCCGCGTATGCTACTCGCACCGACACCATCCCCCGAGCATCCTCTGATGTCATACATGCATCTTGGTTTGAATACATTCCACGATTGGTGGAAATACGTTCTTTATGGAAATTTACGCGACGGCAAGTCTCCTGCCACTGGGCCTTCTCGTCATCGTGATCACGGTACAGCTTCCAAGCGTCATCGGAAAACAATGCTCCATGACGATCTGTTTACACCCCTCCCCTCGATTCCTCGAAACGGGTTGCAGTTTCAAGGAAGGCAATTATTCCCTGTCATCGGAAACGAAAGGAAATTTTTGTTTCTTACCCTTTCTGGCAGAGAGTCCCCTTCCTATCACCAGCCATTACTGAGGAACGACAACAGTGACGCCACTTCCGATAGCAGAATATCCATTTGCTGTCTATAATTTCACCACACTTCAAGACATGACAGGGATGTAATTTAACGTCTGCGTGTATCATACATAATTTTTGAGTATTGCGAGGTGTTGTCCTGCCTGTATGTGAACCCAATGATACATCGCAGTTTTTTGGAGAAGAAAAAAGCTAGCGAGAAAAACTGACCAGTATGAAAGCCGGAAAAAAGACATCGTGATCAGTTGGAAGCTGGCCTTGTTTGTGCTGTTGGACTTGCACACCGGTTTTTGGTAGAGTAAGCAGTTGATTACGATCAGTCGCTGGGAGAGCTGATTGAGTGCATCGTTAACAGCATGCAACTGTTCCTCCAGGTGGCGCTGAGTCACTAATCTGGATCGGATTGTGGTAACTGAAGTGCGCGAAAAACTTGCGAACTCGTGAAGCCTGAGGTAGAAGGGTCGACAGGGTAACACCAAGCCTTTCGGGCCAAAAGCGCTTTGGATCAACCTGCAGTACGTATCGGGCTGGAGTGCGTTGAGAAATCTTGCGAGCTCGTGGAGCCTGAAGTGCGGTATCTAGAAGAGAAAACCAAGTCAGTCCGGGAGGTGACGGGACACGGCACTGGGATCGCTGTACTGTGCAATTGATGTTCAGGTTACCCAGCAAGTATGCTCTGTTTGTACCTGCCATCCGGGTTGAGTTGAGTCACTAATTCTCTCATCGAATTTTGGTACGCACTTGCAACGATCAACGAAAGTCGTTGACTGGAGTGCATGTCAACTAGGTTATGGAGAGTGGATTGTTGCATCAAGAAGCGTTCGTTGGGATTGTTCAAGAAACACCACTCTTTTGTTGGCTGGAAATTTTTATGTTGAAGTTGTGCACACTGCAATGTTGGGCCGTCCAGTACCTCCCATTCGGACCGATTTTTGGATCGTAGAGACAATTATCGACAGAAGCGGTTGGCTGAGACCTGAAAAGTAGCGTCTAGAAGCGTTAATTCGGACTCTTCGGGGTACACCGAAACTCCATTCACGGTAAGCATGATGAGCCCAGATCGTGCTCCTACACAATAAAATTGTCCCCTTTACGCTCCATCCAGCCAACCGCGAGTCTGATTCTCGGTCCATAAATGCAGGCGATCTGGCGAACTTGTGAAGCCCAACGTGTAGCAATATTGCTGTCCTATTTGAAGCGTCGATTCGGGCGTGATTGTTCAGGGTACCTCAAACTCAGAATGAAATCAGGGATGCTGATTTTGAAGTTGACAGAAGCTTGAGTGGTGGGTACCGGCGAACGCAATGAGATACGCGTGAAGGAGGAGTAAGGTTTCCGAAAAGCGGGGCTGCTGACGGAATGGGCTTGCCTATCGGAAGATAGTCTATACAGGGAAGCCTAAGATTCGGAGGTTGCGCATTCCAACTTTTGAGTAGAACTGGTCGTAGCTCCAACTTGTTCGCTATACATCTCCTCATCGAAGGTGTCGTAGCCATAGCTTTGACAGACTGTTGAGATTTGGTTGAGAAATTGACAGGAAATTGAAGGCGCGTACTTAATCGCACAATGTTGTTACCTGTTTATTCTTGGTTTATTCTCGCTTATACTATCACCCGCTGACGCTCTACTATGCGTCCCTCCTCAGCAAAGTCAATACCGCGCTCGGTCCCGAACTTCCACAGAAAAGAAAAAACGACAAACAAACATCCTTGATACATCACCGTTTCTGGTATGGTGTCAGCTAATTATACGCACACCAATAGCTGTTTTGAAATCTGCGGCATTCACCAGTGCGTGCAGGTCATCTATCTCTAAAAAGATCTCAGAGCGGCAATTGTGCTCCTGGCTGATTCACGGCCGCCGCGCGACTCTCACGTCGGTAAGTACCAAGTTTATACATCTACTGCCGAGAGACTCACTGATGCGCTCCCAGGAAGCCTTGCCTTGGCGAAAGCAAGAAAAATTTGAATACATTGCTCCTCAGGCAACTCGCACAATTGGACGCTCAGCATACGAAAGATGAAATCTCTAGTCTAAGTAAAGCACAGAAGCTTATTGTCAAAATTGGCATAGACTAGAGCCCGGCATGACGTCGCTCATAGTTGAACATGTCAACACACCGTCGCCCCGGGATCTTCTTACTCGTTTGACACTGGATCTTGCGAATCTTCCCGGCTCTTCCCGCCAATCAATTTTTGCTTGCATAGCCCCGTCACCCCGTGGGCCCGCACAGTTTACACAACGTAGACCGTGACTGCTGTTGAAAAAAAAAAAAAAAAGGAAGATATCATATGGGTATTCCAACAATGCTCTACAACAATCCATAATAATTTAACAACAGATCCGAGCTGGAAGAAGTTACGAACAACAAAGAGGTGCATCTTGTTATGCGAGCGCCTCAAAGTGTTATACTTGGGTACATACACTTTGGGCACCTCCTATGACTGTCCACAACATACTGACAACGGCCAAATATCACCAAGTAAAAACATACAACGCCTACCAGTTCGACGCTTACCCTGACGTTATCTCGAACGTTATCTTGCCCTAGATCCCTCTCAGCTTGGCTTGAAAGCGATGGTACTCGGTAATCCTCGACCCACCAGTTTTTCAAGACCGTGTTGGACGCAAATTATAGAGCGATTCAAATTCAAAACACGCACGCACCAGGGATTCATGCTTTTGTTTATCGCCGCTCGATCATGGCTGATACGCTTGGACACCGCAACATTGCCTCCGAGGAAAAGGGGTTGAAGCCGGTTCCTGGCGCTAGAGATAGTTATTTAAGAATAGCCATGATCTACACAACATCTTCCATTTATTAACCCACCTGGCGTGGCGTTAGTCAATCCTCGACTTTTACACATTTCTGTTCAAACACCTGGCTATCGCATATGGACGAAGTCTCCACGTTTATCAACCTATATTCTCTCAACATCATTCCCCTTCGCGTTGTTTGTGAGTGTTCCATGAACTTTGGCGACCGTAAATTCATTTGAAGCAATTGTCATCAGTGGCGTCATTGACATGGGTTCTCCATGACTATCGTAAGCTTTTTTCTGCCGTACTCTTCATCTTGATTCAAAACAAGTGGTAACAATAGTTGTGACCCTTTATGACGAGGTACGCAACGGCGAGTCGCTTTCTCTTTCTATGCGCCTTGCTAAAAAAAAATCCACAGATGAAACTAGTTTGGGTCAGTATTTTATTTGATTAAGCCGTAATGTTAAGTTGACAAGTGTCGTGAAGCCCCAGCGGTGGAGCTTTGGGAAGATAATGTTTTTATGGGTCAGTTGTTTTTATATAAACAAACACATTCTAATCCGTTGCTGATTATGCCCCTCAAGATTCGTTATTATACGGTCGCTCTTTTGATTTTCGACACTCTCCAAATACACCTCTTCGCTCGACCTGGCGTTGTCAATGATGACCTGTAAGCCCGTAGCCAAGGATGCCTTTCACATTTTCATCATCCTTCGTATCAGGTGTGTGGCTATGGATCCAATCACCCGGCTGGCCGGTGCGATTAGTTTATGGTCCATCGAAATTGTCATGCAAGTCCGCATCTACGCATTATATCGGTGCTCGAAGAAGGTCAGCCTTAGCACTTGTATGGTTAGAAATTTAACTAATTTGCGGATACCAATACAGATAGCTCTTTTCAATGGCATATTGTTTTTGGGTTCCATTGGAAGCTTCTTATGGATCATGGTCCATAATTTCCTGCGCAGGAGGGCCTTGATCGCAGGCGCGATGCATTTACCGCTTCCTGGATGCCCATCCATTAACGGTGGGATACAGTGGGCTCAATGGGTTCCGGGTACTTTCTCCCTTCGGCTTTTTCAATCCAAATCGGCTTATATTCGTTTTTTTATTAGCAACAGTGTTTGAGGGTGTACTCCTCTGCTTTGCGCTTTACAAGACGTACAAAACATGTTCCGATCACATACGATTCCAGAAGCGCGTGACGCTGTCAGATGTTCTCCTCCACGATAACATCCTCTATTTCTTTGCGTGAGTTCCCATTTTTTGTTTGTATTCAACGAAGTATTTATTTATGCTGTTCAAATGTCTATAGTGTCACCAGTTTGCTGATTTTCAACAACTTGATGGTTGTTGTACGTGCGCCCCCCGTCGCCAACTATTTTAAACGATTGATCATTGATTCTTGCAGGGAGCGACTCGCATTCCATGGTTTGGATTTGGGTACGCTAGATTTTCTACCTTTTCAGACCGTCGTTTGACGGATCGCCAGTCCTTTTCACGCTGCACTGGGCATCATCACCACACGAATGCTTCTCCATCTCATCGAGTACGCAAACTCCACCCAAATTTTTGGGGACAGCAGTGGGCACATAAAAACAGAAATATTTGATGCGATTTTTGCGGTTCGTTCCGCTGAGGATTCCGACCTTGAAACAACAAATTTGATGAGTGCAGTATTTGATACCGACCTGGAAAGGCAAACATCCGGGGTAAGTAATTCAATGGACCTCTAATACTTACGCCGTACATTAACGTCTGTTCCTAGCTAACCTCGCCGGAGCATCAGTCGATGTCTGAAGTCTCACGCCGCACTGCAGGCCCAAGTACCATTTCCCATCTTTCGAGCGTTGCTTCGTCCGAGTCAAGTTCGATAATACCGAGATGGTACCGGATTTACTGGAGGGGCGAGGGGTCATGAGGTGGCAGAATTCAATTAATGCCCCGTCAAATATCTATTCTTCATTCAGATCAATTGTACATTAGATGCAACCAAAGGCGTAAACAAATTAATACCCCTTCAAGAAAGGTCGAAAGCGAGGCAGGGATATTAAGAAAGTCTTGAAGCGTAAGTTTAGCCGCGAAGTAAAGACGACAATCATAGACGTCATCGATCATCAATCAGTGGTTACGGCGCGAAATGATGGGCGAGCGGTTTTTGGGGTCGTTGTGTGATCACCATACACCTCCAGAACTGAGTCTGGGAAAACATCAGCAAGGAAGCCTTCACTCGACCTCCTTCCGATGCCACCATCGCTTGCGGGCGGTGGTATTGCCACGCATCCGGGACTCCATTGATCCTCATCACAGCAACTCCACATAGTGATCGTGCGTACGACCTTGAAGGCGAGCCCATCCGGAGTCCTAGATAGGAACTCGTAGACTTCATTTTCGAGATGACCTATGTAAGTACAAAGCAAAGTCCAGCATCCATGACATAACTCAAAGGGATGACACACACCTGGATGGTAGCCACTGACCTCCCTTTCCTCCTCTTTGACAGTTATTCGGCGCTCATCATGATGAGCGGCTTTGTGTGACATTCCGTGGGTTTTAGATTCGCGTCGCGATTTACGACGGGGCCGCCGATGTCTCGCCATTGTAGGCGTAGTCGGTGGGGAATCGTTGAATGGGAGAACTGCGGCCACTTCCTTGATGATAGCGCGGTGGAATCGAGGATTGCTATCCGCCAGTTTGAGCAAAATCGCGCGAAGCTTGGCCTCAGGCACAGCTGCAATCGATGTTCGCAGCCCTAGATTGCTAGGTTCCGAGGCACAATCCGAGTCTGAGTCGGTGGTGGGAGGGTAGGGTGAGGCGGAGTCATAGTGGCTTTCCGTCAGCGGGTAGAGGTTGACCATCTTGAATTGCGCCAGTGTGGCTCAAGCAGCACGATACAAGTAAGCGCACGATGAAGCGGAAGGCAATTGGCGCTACAGGAGAAAGGTGCGTGTTCAAGATAAAAGGCAGTTAGATAAAGGAATTGTGTATTGTGGCATCTTTTTGTCTTCGAGGTTCCAGAAGGTCCGCTACAAACAGTCGTTCCGATTCCGGACGACGGCTTGCAAGGCACCCTCAGTCCTAATTTGTGCAGAAGCCATGCCAAGCTATTTTGAACAAAGATCATTGAAAGATGACGAGTCGGTCTCCACGAAAGACGCTGAGGGGAATGAAAATGCAGAGCGAAACAATAGTGGCATAAGACAAAGAAAAATCAAGAGCTGCAGATGTTCGTTGAGCTACAAAAAACTCTACCAGGGGACTAAAAGGTCCTTACACAAAAACTAAGCCTCTTCACGCTTTCTTTTCTTCGATGGTTCTGAAGGTTTATGTTCGCCTCGAACGCAACCTACGCTGCCCCCATCCTTGCTGCAACAAGTCCATTTGAGGTTTTCGACTTCGTCCGGCGGCCTTTGTAGGCCCTCGTCAGTTGTCTTCGCGTCGACCGGCAGTACACCTGTGACCTCGATGATCGAGTGAATAATACAATTAGATTGAACGACGTACCTGGATGAAAAGTGCATTCATCATTTTCTCGAGGTAGATTGATGTCATATTCCACTCCGCAGGTCGCACAAGTTTCCCAGCGCGGCACAACGGCGTGCGTGTCTCGTCTGACCGTTATGAGTTCTTTTGTCAGCGCCGCCTCAACGGCTAATTCGGTGCCCACGAAAGTTTTCAACATTTCACGCAATCGTGACTCGGAGACCGTGGATATCGCGTTACGCAACTGTGTTCGGGTCTCTTCATTTAGATGAATCACCACCTCCGATCCGTCAGAGTTCAATTCGTCAGCAGATTCCTCCTCCCCATCGTCTTCCTCCTCGTCCTCGTCCTCGTCCTCGTCTTCGTCTTCGTCGTCTTCCGACTCCGATTCTGTGTCTCCGGTTAGGTCAATGATCTCGACTTCCTCTGTAGGTTCTTCGTGAATAGCCAACGCATCTGGTGATGCCATTCTCTGAGATTAGAGGGATCTCGTCAGCTTTGGCCAGAGTATCTGCGGAAAGACGTGAAACTACGTCTCTGTCTTCATCCAGATTGTTGCGTTTGTCGGCGGTGGTATTGCGGGGTGAGCACTGAGCGTCACTGTCAGGTTCAAGTTTTCAACTCTTTTGAACCACATGACCGCGGATGCAATAAAATGGACAACGCCTCTCCTCAACGCCGTTCTATCTTGGTTCTATCCGAATCTATCGCCCATTTCGCCAACATTTCTTTGACGCTTTTGACAAATCTTCTCAATTTCCAGAGTTTCAAGGTTCAACTATCTACCCATCGGATACAGGTCATTGACTCTGAGTGCGTTATAATACATGATAACTTCCTCGTCAGGTTCTGCCATTCAGGAATACATAAACGATCGTTTCCTGGCCAATCGACCGCCGAACTCTCAATTAGTTTGGCTTTGAAGATACCTCCGATTTTGATGACGTCCATCTGGAAGCGCAATGAGGCGCGATGATGCGTCGCAATAAATACAACAGACTCATCGACGTCGAGTCTTTGAAAGTGAAACAATCAAATCAGTGCATACTCCAATGTAATGTCAGGTCCTCGCACTATGCTGACTATTCAGATAAGATGGCAAAATATTGCAGACCTACATGCAAAAGAGTATGCAAAGAAGGGGAATTCAAGGGTCGCCTCAAACTCAAGCTCAAATTATGTAAAACATCCAAGATAGCAGCCGAACCTTGGCCGAAACTGCCTTACGAGGTTTGATCCGCCGGCCCGCCGTTTTTACTTCATGGTGGAATTTGGAACATGTCATCGTAAAGTAACTCAGGTTCACGGTTTGTTCACCGTCACTCCACGTCAGCCTTCTCTATTCAAGTACCCTGCTCGGCGACACCTGACCTATCGCTTTGGGGCATGCTGGTCCCTATTAGGGATCAGAATTCTTATGGGCTTTCCTATTAAGAGCTGATTAAGAGTATCCTGTCCACCTTTTCTTCTCAGCTTCTTTTCGGTTAAAGCGCTCACCACCAGCCAACACCGAGCCATGAGCGACACGGTAATTGACGAACAGACCCCCCTCCTTGACCGAAAGCAACGCAAAGCCACACCGCTCCCCAAGCTCCAGATTGCTGTCATACTCCTGCTTCAAGTCTGCGAACCGTTGACGAGCCAATCTATCTACCCATATATCAACCAGGTGTGTTAGATGACTTCGCTGGCCCTTCAAATTTTTTGAACTCTACATGGTAGCTGGTCAGCGAACTAGATATCATCGGTGGTGACAAGAGGAAAGTTGGATACTATGCTGGGTTGATCGTTGAGCACATCAGTCCTCCTAATTGGATTATCTACTAATGGTACCGCTAGGAATCACTCTTTTTTGCGACAGAAGCCTTGACTGTTCTTCAATGGAGCCGTGTATCTGACCATATTGGCCGCAAACCTGTAATGTTGATAGGGTTATCAGGCATGATGATATCGATGCTCTGTTTTGGTCTCTCTCGAAATTTTACGGCCCTCATCATCAGGTATATAACGTTGTTCTCTGTGCGACCTATCATTATTGATTCTTGTCAAATCTTGCAGTCGATGTTTGACAGGTCTGTTAAACGGGAACATTGGTACGCCACTTCCAGCTTCCTGTATCAGCTCTTCTAAGCCTGATTCTGGCAGGCGTCATGAAAAGTGTCATGGGAGAACTTACGGACTCTACAAATAGGGCAGAAGGCTTTGCACTCATGCCCGTGGTCTGGGGCTTAGGCGCAACTTTGGGGTACGTTAACCCACTCCTAGATTTACGTGCCTGTAACCCAAGCCTGCCCCTCCCTGCGCAGCCCATTTATTGGAGGGTCACTTTCCCGTCCTCATGAGCGTTTCCCAAATGTGTTTAGCGGCTCGTTTTGGAAGGCGTATCCATACTTTCTGCCTTGTGTTGCAACATCAGGTTTCGTCATGATCGCTTTCACGATCGCTTTGATATTTTTCAAAGAGGTTTGTTCAATCCAATATGTTTTATACTGCTAACTCTGAACCAAACAGACTGTTCCAAAAAAGCAACCTTCGAAGCACAGAAGTGCTGAGCCTGCAGACACGTCGGATGACACTTCTGCCAGTAGCCCACGACTCGATGAACCATTACCCCTTCGTGATGTCCTTACCTACCCTGTCATTCTTTCGGTTTCCAATTACGTGGCCCTCGCCTTCCTCAATATCGCCATCTCCGCCCTTCTCCCTCTTTTCTTGGCTATGCCACTATCTGTTGGCGGGTTGGGCTTTGCCCCGGCGACTATTGGCTACATCATCGGTTCATATGGGGCAGCAAGCGGAATTTTTCAAGCGCTCTACTTCTCAAAGATAGTCCGCTGCTTTGGCGAACGCCGTGTGTATATCTGCGCAATTTCGACAATGGTCCCTGTATTTTTCTTGCTCCCTATAATAAGCCTCCTTGCCCGACAATACGGATTGTCCCCGATAGTGTGGGTCTTCATCGTCTTTGTTCTAGTACTCTTGTCCCTTCTGGATATGGCCTATGGTAAGAGTTTCCTCTGCCTTCTTTTTCCTTCCCAAATTACATCTCCCCCTTTGAATTTTAGGTTGCATATTCATGTTCGTTACAGCTTCTGCACCAAACAGACGCTCACTTGGAGCCACCAATGGCTTGTCCCAGACAACAGTCTCAATAGCGCGTGCCATCGGGCCCGCGATGTCTACCTCTTTGTTTTCATTCTCTGTAGAAAGGAACATACTTGGAGGATATGGCGTATACGCTTTCTTTTGCACCCTCTCGGTTCTCGCTATTCTTCTAGCTTCCCGGTTGCCCAAGCACGTGTGGGATCACCAAGATTTCTTGGACGGGCACAAAGGCGATGATTATGACACATGAACTTTGATGATAATACACTGTTTTCCTTTCTCGCCATAGGATTTCATTATAGACAGAGGTTGTGAGCCAAAATTGACTCGTCTACCAAGCCGGATCGGCACTCTGATTCCAGCATTGAAAACTTTCTCTTATCTGCAGGAAAGTCCATAACACGAAGCCGATGCCGCTTATGCATCTCCGGAATTCCATGGGGAGTTATCACGGTGATTTGGGAGGTTCCCGGACTTCTGATTTCGCCATTTGAACACTTCGGGAAGTTTTATGACTCCAAAGTTCCCTTAAAGCACGGGATGACTTCGGGTTCCACCATCCTTCCTCTACTTACCTATGAGTCTAACAATTGCAAATGATGGAAGCCCAGTCATCGACTCGGAGGAAACTCCGTTGTTGAAGCAACACAAGAGGACCCCATTACCAATCTTGCAGATCGGCATAGGTCTCCTCCTGCAAATCTGTGAGCCCATATGCAGCCAATCTATATACCCATACATCAACGAAGTGGGTACCATCAGTTGCAATCATTCGTCAGATAATTATTGACCTGACTGAAAATATAGCTGGTAAGCACCCTTGACATTACCGAGGGCGATGAAAGAAAAGTTGGATATTACGCTGGTTTGATTGTTGAGTCAATCATTATGCACTTCAAGTTTCGCATCTCACTTGAGAGAGAGATTTACAGGAATCTTTGTTCTTTGTCACGGAAGCGATAACTGTACTGCAGTGGAGTCGACTTTCCGACCACATAGGTCGAAGGCCCGTTATATTGGTCGGCCTGGCGGGCATAATGTTTTCAATATTATGTTTTGGTTTGTCGCACACCTTTGTCACCCTTGTCATTAGGTATATTTCTTGCTGATCTGGGATGGAATTCACCTGATCATAATTCGACGCAGTCGCTGCCTTTGTGGCCTGCTAAACGGAAACATCGGTTTGTGTGTTTGACCACATCATGAAATACATCCCCGCTTATCTCGAAAAAAGGCGTCATGAAAAGTCTTATGGGGGAGTTACTAAACCGACCCAACTAATCGCGCCGAAGCCTTTGCTTTAATCCCTGTCACTTGGTCTATGGGTATGTCACTAGGGTACGTGAGATCCAATCTTGGGGAATCATACGCATGATGAGGGATTTGCCATTAATATAGCCCTTTAATTGGAGGGTCTCTGGCGCGACCCAGTGACCGCTTTCCAAACGCGTTCTCCGCCAAGTTTTAGAAGGAATTTCCTTATTTTCTTCCTTGCATCGCAAGTGCAAGCGTCGTGTTTGTAGTTTTTGTCGTCACAGCGCTATTTTTGAAAGAAGTACGTGCATACCCTAGTAAAAGAACCTATTTGTAACCCTTTTAACTTGACGTTTATAAATTTCAGACGGTTACAAAACAAAATACCCAACCAAAGCGTCCGTCATCCGAGTCCTCAACTGACTGTACCCTGGCTGAGGCGCTGGAACCCTCTTCATCTCATGAGCCTCTTCCACTTCAAAAACTCCTGGTGTTTCCTGTCGTTATTTCAATCCTCAACTACGCGACATTGGCGCTCCTGAACATTTCCGTCAATGCCCTTTTGCCATTATTCTTCCACATGCCCCTTGACATGGGTGGCCTTAACCTCGAACCGGCAACTATTGGATACATAATTGGTGTCTACGGTGCAGGGACAGGCCTTTTTCAGTTCTTGTTCTTCGCCAAGTTGGTTCGGAGGTTTGGCCCAAGGCGAATATTTGTAACGTCGCTTTCGGCATTCATCCCGATCTTCCTCATATTCCCTGTTGTTAACATTGTCGCAAAAAAACTCGGTGTCTCCCTACTCGTTTGGGTCTTGGTCGGTTGTCAACTAGTCTTATTATTTTTCATGGATACAGCCTATGGTGCGTCCCCTGTGCGTCACTGAGAATCCTCTAATTTTTTTTGTAGGTTGCATCTTCATGTACATCACGGCGTCAGCGCCCAACAAACGTTCACTGGGAGCAACAAATGGTCTATCACAGACCACTGTTTCTGCAGCGAGAGCCATCGGTCCCGCCCTATCGACATCCCTTTTCTCGTTCTCTGTGGAGCGAAATATCTTGGGGGGCTATGCCAATCAGTAGAATAACAACCTCTTTTGCTTTCACTTTCACGCGCTTTCACTTTCACATCACTTTCACATCACTTTCAAGGCACCTTTTCCCACCCTTTTGGGTCTTTCCCGCTTTCACCTCTTTCAAACTTGTTGAACAGAATAATTCATAGAATAACGTCCAGGCGAGAACCTACCATGTAATGATGATTTTTCAAGGAGGATTAAAGTATTTGAAGGTGTATCTTCCCGTGCTGAAATCAGGAGAAGAGCTGTTGTCGCTTGTGTGCCCGTCGATCACGCGACATGTTGAACGTCCAAATTCGGAAATTTTTGGACTTATGAACTTTTCCCTCAACATCCAACTTCACGCTCCCCACCCAGCTCCTTTCCCCCTCTGATGCGCAATGTCTTGATGATCGGGTATGTGCTTGGCCAGCACAAACTCACTCATGATGACATTGGCATCATACTACGGCAGACCGGAAGCCCAACAAACTCGTCAATCCTGAAAGCTCATCTGTGACACAATGCAGCCAGAAGACCCTGGCTGCCCGACGACGCATGCCAAGTATGTGGTGGACGGTAAGTATTGCAGAGTGTGATGTGACCTTTGGGTGATGACGAAGGAGGACGAAGGAAGGTGACATTGAGGAGGTGCTGGGGGTGGGGGTATTCGGAGGTGATGACGGGTAGCGCAATTTCAAGGTAGGTGGACTCAGCATTTCCACAGCTTTGACTAACAACACAATAGACCATCGACTGTCACTGATACTCGCAAGATACTGGTATTCAGTGCGATTGCTTTGAATGTCACAAGATGAACCTCCCGCTCCGCTTCTTTATGAATGCGCCCTCAAGTTCCTTCACTCCAGTAACATTGACTGTCCTCTGTGCACGTTCAATCTGGTACGCCCTTTACAACGCGCACATATTCATTTTTCCTTCCTCATCAAAATATACAGTACGCTGGGAATGCCGCCATTGGTCTCGAAACCATCACTCTTCCACTACGCACGTAAGCATTGCCCTCGTCTTGAATCGTCACACCGCTCACTCTGTCTTCAGGTCTCTTTCTGGTCACAAATCTCGAGTACAACCACACGCCCGATTGCATTGCAGCCAGTACGGTAGGACTACGCTCAAACCTTCCAGTACGTTGTTCCACTTTGTAGTTGAGGCAATGTGCTGAAACTGTCTGTCATAGGTATAAGGCATGCGAGGAAGGAGGCAACTTGTGAGGCACCCGTGTTTCGAGGGAGTAGAGAAACAGTAGATACAATCAGTATTATTATACAAATGAGATATTTTTTGCCTGTCTTTCTACCTCTTTTCACCTGCTTTCGAAGACTCTTTGCCAAGGGTCTTTCACCTCTTTGACCACTTTTGAAAGCGGAAACGCTTTCACGCTTTCAACGCTTTCAAAAGCGGTGAAAGCGGCTGAAAGCGGTTTTGTGATTCTACTGATACGGTGTGTATGCCTTTTTCACAGTTTTCAGTGCTCTTTCTCTCCTCTTGGCTGTTCGTCTTCCCCATCAAATTTGGGCTGAATCGCAGGAGTTAGATGGGTGATCTGTTCAGGCAGGGGTTCTTTCTTGTCTGGAAAAGGTGGGAAATAAATGATCTTATGTGGGGGAAAATTCTAGTTTGAGAAACCACATGTCGCAGTGATATTGGCCTTATAAACCCTTTTTTATTTATTTAAAAGCTTCGCTACTTTGGTTGGCTGCATCAGATCCGGTTCACCTTCAAAGTAAGCGGGAAAAAAGTATGTGCTTTCTTCCGGTATGCTTGAGCGACTTTCACTATTTTATTTTTATTGCAGTACTTACTTGTTGCTTGTTTGTTCCCGCGTTTTCTCTTGACGATACCAAGCAGCTATCCACCGGGCTAAGTATGTTCGTTGAAAATATCTGAGGTCATGACGCTTTCGAAAAACGCGCAATGCACTTGGAAGGTCGGCCGAAATTATTTGTTTTGATTGGCAGTTCTTGCTTACATATCGGTGTTGTCAGCATGGTGGTCATCGGTCTTCATAGTAGGTTCGAGTGGACCATTCAAAATGCTGTGGCAGATTGTCAGCCTCCAGTGAGATATCTTGCTTCTTTCCCCGGAGAGTTCCCTAATTTCTTCTGCAACGATCATTCAGAGTAGTTGTTCTCTTGCTTTTCAAAGATGGTAGCGAGCATACGCGTCATCATTACCTACATCTCTAGGCTCTTCCTCGCTGCCTGGCTCTGGCTTCACCGCACGCTCTTTCCTGCTATTTCCTCCGTCTTTTCCAGGTCCAATCCTCAAACGGTGGAGTTACCCACCACCTCGCCCGCCGCACCCCCACAATTTGCCTCGACTGATTGTTTTGCTCGGTATCGTGCTCCCACATACTGTGAGTTATTGAGTCTTGTTCCCCATCTTAAACATGCTCAGATTATTGGAGGCAATGCCCAATTGTTAGAGGAGGCTTTGCCTCACCATGATATTCTGCAACGCGAACTCTTTGGAAAAAATTACTCTCAGAAGAGAATGTCCCACCAGTTCTTTAGCGACGACTATTTGGGCGATCCAGTTGGCTTAGAAGGCGAAAATCCTCGTTTATCTGGTGATCCTTTGCAGGCCCCAACCTCCCAGGGAGTGGCTGCACTTTCCACCTTGGACGACATCTCGTCACATTTCAGCCCTTCTAGTTGCTCGACTCCTCCTCCCCCTCGGATTTTTGACTCCTGCGATTCTTTCGCGCAAGTCGAACGTTCGGGTTCTCTGCGGAAGGCCGTGAGTATTGGGAATCTGGGCCAAAGGCGGGGATTTAAGGGGGCTCCTCTCAAGACCTCATCAACGACGCCCCAAGGCTCGGTCCTTTCCCTTCCATCGGCAAAGTCTGTTCGATCTTCTGGTCGAATGTCGCCCACCACCCCTCGGACTCCTATATCGTCGATCGTAAATCTCTGCACCTCCTTCTCACCAAAGTCCATGAGAAGCTCGAAGCAAGCGCCACTCGAGGTCTACGGTCAAGAAGATCCTTTCGCAGTCACCGCGCCATCTTTCTATACTCTGGTCTCTGCAGGCTCCACTCCGCCCTGGAATGACGATGACCTTAATTTGTATCTCGACCAGGAAAAAGATAAATCTTTGCACAAAGGAGGCAGCCGGTCTCGTAGAAGTTCTAATGCACATCGCATCCCAGGACATGTCATGAAGACGACGATATACAACGTTTCCGTAGGGCCAAGTTTATCGACATCCAGGCCACTGGCGACGCCGACACTCAAGACAACGTCGGAGCTTCCAAAACCTTTAGACAGCTCGGCACTGCCAGTCACTCCTTCGGACGTGGGTGTCGTTCTTACCCCGCCCAGCCCTCCTAAACCTACAAGACCGCCGTCTTCGGTTTCGTTGTCTGAGTCATTGAAAGTTTTGATAGAGACAGGTGCCTCTTTCGTTGACGATGATCCCTTTACTGGTTCCCAGGCTCCTGCTCCAAAATCGGTTGTAAGCACGGATGTGGGTGATAGCTCTGTTTACTCTGCAAGACAGGAACGAAGTCGTGCAACGATGGTCCAGCGCTCGGGGAAAGCCACGTTAGAGCTTATGGATCCTCCACGTCAGTCAAAGGCGGGTTTTCTGGGCGATGAGGCTATATCAAATGAGCGATCTCTTGTCACATCTAAAGAAACACAGTCGAAAGTCAAGGAGCGCGATCATAGAACGACTGTCAAAGTCAAAGTTACAACTCTGGGCGAGTCTCAGGGAAAGGTTGCCGGACGAGGTAATCCTTCTCCGGAAGTTTCTGGCGCCAAGTTTGATCACCATTCGAATCGTCCTTCTCCATCCTCAACTCGGGCAACCAGTTCTTCTTTTCCTGACTCTCTGAAGGCCAACGTTCAATCTGATACCGCGGTTCCTACTGCTAAGCAAAACATGTCGACTAAGAACATTGTTATCGAAACTTCCAACGGGGATACGGTAGCAAGCGATACAATCAAGAAGAAAAGAAGATTCTCAGCTCCTTCGGCTTGGCCCAGTCCTTCTAAACCACCTGGTGGCCTTTCCTTCAAAGCCAAGCCCGCAAGTCGGGTCGCCATGAGAGACGCCACCAACACCTCTCATTCGAAGGCGACTTCTTGTGCTGGTGTCGTTCCAAGACCTGTCTCGTGGATTCACAACCTCACCCTAGCGCAATCCGGTGTCAAGGTCAAGATCATCCCGCCGACACCCGTTCTCAAGGGTCCCAAAACATTTTCTGCTGCTCTGGATCACAGTCTGCTCGTCGTCGTTGATCCAGATGATGACGAGGCCGAGGAGGATATCGTTCATGGTGACGACGCGAAGCAACGGCGCTGGTCTAGGGGTGTGGCTGAGCTGGTTGCGATCGTCAACACCTTCGATTTAAAGACTGGACAGGAAAGGGCGCAGTTGCAACATAGCGTCTTTCCTATATCTTCGAGTGAAGGGAGTCTTTTGACTAAGGGGACACGGGACTCTTTGGCTTTGTTTCGCTCTTCCGTCAAATAGGGAGCAGTGGTGGTTTACGGAGGTTTCCTTGATATTGGCGGGAAGGTGGAGCATTCGGCCATAGAATCGTTTGCTTACACATATAGACAAGTGTTATCATTCAGAGTTATGTAAAAAATGTGCTAGCGAAGATATACACAGGTGGGGCTTGGGGAAAGTAATATATGGTTTGCTGCTAGTTGACATGACAAGAAATTGAGAAGGGAGTTGGCAAAAATATTACTATGGTACAGATGGTAGTATTTCCTTCTAGCCGACTTGAACGACTGACCTCGTCATTGTATACAACGGATACTAGTGACGCGCTCTACCAACTGAGCTAAGAAGGACTTTGTAAATTAAGCCGCTTCATGCAATCTGACCTGATCACGTTATATACTAAAGTAGTTGCAAATCGGACACAAAAAGGATGGCCCCTAAATTTCGAAAAAATACATTTCGTACATTGTACGTGTATGATAGCGCTATGTATGTACCTGCATATCGGAATGGTGTATGGCTCCGATGGATGGGGGCAGGGGTTGGTGGGATATAAGAGCAGCGAAAAAGCGCTACGGCGAGGACAGCATGAGTGAAAAATGGTTGTTGGGTTATATGGTGGTAGAATCAATGAGGAAAGGGGTTCGTGAAGAACACAAAGGGAAATGAAAAGTACAACAATGTTCGGAGATGGAGGGAGCGTTGTTCGCCTCACTCGTGTATATGTATCCTGCGCATAATCAGCGGATGCTTCGCCTGCTTGTGTATATGGCGATGTGCGATTATCGTGTCCAGAACCTCGACCTGCGAGGTGATTGCCTTGTTTCGGTTTAAGAACAGCGGGCCAACGGGCCTCCAATAATGTAAGCCGTGCACACTGACTCGTCCCTCTACCGTGAAATTGGATTTTTTAAAAAGAGGAAGAGTTATTCATCCAATAGGCGGTGATGGTGGTCGTGTCAAGATTTGACGCTGGGTAGCTTCGAAGCTCCCACATCTCTCTGGAGTGGTGCTGGGTGGGTGCTGCTGCTGCTGCGTCGTGACAGTCGTGGGGCTGTTCTTTCGTCTGCCCTTTAAGTTTAAGCTCCACCGATGACCCTTTTTCAATAAGCTTGGTGGGACAGGGGGATTGGTAACAAGCATTTTCGGATGGGTGGTTGAGTGATCGGGGAAGATGAGTGTAGGAGCTGGGAGGGATGGCAGGAGTGCTGTGAGACGCGACGCAGAAGCTCCCGAGGCCAGAGACGCGAATGCTGGGGATACCAGCTGAGGAGACGAGGACGAGTCGGAATCAGAGGTCTCTGGGAAAGGGTATTCAAAAGGAGAGGAGTTTGTGTCGAAAGGGGTGCCTATGATTTCAGATGAAGGCGAGTGGAAGCTGAGATGTTCGATTGAAGGCATTGGCCGCGACGATGAGAATGTGGTAGAGAGTAAAGAGAGCTGCGTATGGAGTGACAATGGCGGCTGGAGAATTAAAGGTTGGCAAGGATACGGTAGGCTAACTAAATAAGCACCTACTTCTTGATTGAGGCCACTATCGATGACGTTTTGCTCCACTTGATCGATTGACGCTTCACTTTCCGCTTCTGCTTGAGGCTCTGCTGGAAGTTCCGTCACAGTACTCATAGTACAGTCGCTATCGGCGTAAATGTCTACGTCGACGATGGGTGCCTCCCAATACGTCCACATGGCTGTGCCAGTTGCGAGGAAGCGAGTAAGCTCGGACAAGTCACGTCACTTTCCGGACGCCGGACTGGATCTTCGTGAGGACACGAGGTAAAGTTTGAGGGTCTTCTAGCCTTAACAAGGCTTCAACAAGAATATCATCGTTCTTCACGGAAGCAATTGATGTGGGGGGGGGGGCAACGAACAAACTGGAACGTTCCACAGAGCCAACCATCGTCATACGAACGTCGTTCTCCCCCTTCCAATCCTCGTTCCAACCCTCGAATGATCCCTTCCAGACCTTTTTGGTCTTCCGATTCGGGAAAGTGGGGCTCTGTGCGCTGCCTAGTTGTCTCGAAGCTGGCCTGGTCCAAATGTTGTTGGAAAAAATCGGCCGTTGGGGGCGGGTGAACCTGGAGGACCACGCATGGCGTTCAGCGGGTAAATTGAGAAGGAAGAAGTCGAGGCTCAAGAAATTCCGCCGGCAACAGTTATGAGGTCTGATATTAGGGTCTGGACCCGCTCACGTGATGGGTCCAAAAGCCCCTCAACTCCACTTGACCGCGATGAGCAAGCACCAGGAACGAGTGCAGGCTCAATATCGGATATACATGGAGCGTCAGAACGAAACCTTGCGTTTGTACTCATAAGTAGATACTGATTTTTTATGCCTAAATATTGCACCGTACATGAAACTCTCCAATTCAAATCAAGTGCTTACTTGTCTTCGACGCGTGGTTCACAATTGGTCATTAAAATGAAAGTCGAGGAGCGGTGGGGTAAGGAATGAAGTACAGTAAATGACACGCGTTGAGATTTATGGAGTCCTACGAAACTTCAAACCTGCGAATGGACAAGAAAAAAAACTGTACTAGAAATATGATAAGTAGCAAAGTTGTACGCGTGAAGTTGACGCCGATATGGAATTCAAGTGAGGCAAGAAGGTCGATAGATAATTGGGTTTTGCCAGTGTTGATAAGTACATCGAAATTTAGCTTGAGGCTATTACCGATACTGCCTTCTGCAGATATTGAGTGGTAGTTGACTCCACATGGAGAGAAAAAAATGGACCCGCAAAGAAAAAGTGCGTACTTATTGAGGGCGGTGATGGAGTTCCGTATGAGTTACGAGCTCAACGTTGCAGACTGGATGCTTCTGCCTCAAAATGGCGATGATGCGTAATGTTATGTCTAATTTCTATGCGGTAAGTATTTTACGGACCTGTACATGGATTTGTGAACATGGGGATGCCAGAAGGAAACGGAAAACTACCAACTTTATACGCTTGAGATACGCCATTCTACCTCCCAACCAATTCTGACGCGTTCCGACCAGACAACGAAATCACCAACGACAAAATCGACGTCCAAGACAACCACCCTTGGCTTGTCAGAGACTTTGGTGCTGCGAGCACGGTTCTGTTGCAGAACCTTGGGGGTGGGTTAGGCACCGAATTCGAAGGCAAAGACTCGCTACAGCAATCTTGAAACGGAAGTTTGTTGATGCCGTCGCTTTTTGCCATACACCACCAAATACACGACTACATTCATGCCTTTTGTTGCACTCACTTTCAACTGAACGCCCATCACCGACAGCAGACTCAGTCTTACGATGCTCGTTCCACATAAGATGCTAGCTGTTCGCAGCTAAGCCTCTATCCTCGCGAGCGGGCACATGTCCGAACCACTGTGTCTTTCCATCTGGAAGGCCAGTGGCACTCTATTCACTCATCGCCAGACACCACCACGACATCTCTATCGACGCACATCAAGGGGCCTCATCAGCCTCGCGGCGAAGCCGTCGGCGTCGTCCTCTTCTACCGTTACAGATGTATCAACCTGCCGGAAACAAAATCTTGCTCCTATCGAGTGGCTATGCGGAGGATGGCTTCGCCTCCTTTGTCCTAGCTGCTCAGGCCCCTTTTCGGGGGGTCCTACCATGTGCGCCTAGAGCGTGCTTTGCGCGGGTAATCCGCAGTTCGAAGCCCTGCGTGGTAGCCTTTTCTGTTGATTCCTTGCGGATTGCCGACGCCACATCAGCGAAAGTAGAACATACCTGACCCGACACGGTCATCACCTGACTCAAGGTCCATCTCGCGGTACCCACACAGTGCTGGGTGAAGAGCAGCAGCGCAACAAAAATCGTTGTCGCAGGTTGTCGTTCTCAAACGCATCGCACAGTACTCACACACATCTGTCTCGTGAGAAGGCGCCGCCTTGCAGAACTGTCGATGGATCAGCGTATCGCACCCACCATTCGCGTAACCAGCATATGCTGCCTTTGTCGAGCATTTCCACTGGATTGACAGGGGAGTATTGAGAGTCAGCAATTTGGTTTGGTTGTCCGCGCACGAGGAGGTGTCGGTTTATGGCGTTGTTGTGGTGTATCCCATTGTTCTTCGTTACTCGCGGAATCTAACCTCTGGCATCCTCTGGGTGCTGAGGTGGGTCCGTGTGCGTGCTCGAGTTTTCAGACATTGTCTGCTGTCCCAATTTTTTCCACCCCGCTCATTCGTTGAGCATGCCCCAGTTGCTTTTGAGGTTCCTTCAACGCTAAGTATCTTGTCTTTGTCCCAGCCATTGTACTGACGGATGAACCAGTGTAACTGTTGATTACTCCCTCTTCATGCTCTGTCGTGTCAAGCTCGATGTGGTTGACGAACCATGTTTGCTCTGGGATCATTCGTGATTCCTATTGTTGGTGGACAGTGACTAGGGACTTTCGAGCCACTGTTGCACAACGGCATGCCCTTTTTCGAGTTGGGGTCCTTGACTTGGAGAGGGATTGCCTGTGGGTCGAAGCTGGCCCGTTGGCTGGCTTCCAGCACAGTGCAGTCGGGGATCATTCGTGACCCCTACCGTTGGTGGACAGTGACTCTTGAGTCACTGTCGCACAACGGCACGTCCTTTTCCGAGTTAGGTATACTCGTCTCGGAGAGGGATTGCCTGTGGTTCGAAGCTGGCGGTTGGCTAGCCTCCAGCACAGTGCAGTCCGAGCCCCGAATGATTGTCCAGCCTGCACACGAGGAGGGCTTGGTTTACTCCTGGGCTCCTGCTATCAGTGAGGGATCCTTGTTGTTTCGAGGAGGACCCCTCTCTTGGCTGTTGGTCGGTGATTTTTTACTTCGTTTGCGGGTGCTTACATCCTCGCATCAAAAAGTGTTGTATCCGAGAGTTGGGAGACAATGTATGTACAAATTATGCAAATCAGATCGAATGTCAAGATGTTGTGATCGTGAATGCACGAGTGAAGCAAGCTGTTTTGGCGGTCACGGACATGCGTCAGGGTGTAACGTCGTAGGGGCGCCGACGGAAAAACGGGCGACACGTTATGCCACCACATTGTCTTCTTTTGCGAGACCAGACCGTTCTGCGAGTGATATGGAGCTCAACAAACTTCGAATTCGTTTACTCGCGTCTCGAAGGATCTGATTGATGTACCCCCTCTTCTTTTCAAATTCAATACCAATCCAAGATATAAGAACAACGGGATCAGCCTGCTTTGTCTGTGCCGATCCGCGTCGACTTTTCCCCCCTTCCAACTCAGCAGTGCATCGTCACTACCCCCACATTCTTTTACATCCTACTACCACAACCCAACTGTATGTGTTCCCTCCTTCTTGAAGCCTTCGCGGCTTCTCTCCTCCTCGCCGCCGATATAGAGCGTCAAAACGAAACCTTGCGTTTGTACTCATAAGTAGATACTGATTTTTTATGCTTAATTATCGCACAGTACATGAAACTCTCCAGTTCAAATCAAGTGTGCTTACTTGTCTTGGACGCGTGGTTCACAATTGGTCAATAAAATAAAAGTCAAGGAGCGGTGGGGAATGAAGCATTGTTGAGATTTATGGCGTCCCAATGGCGTCCTACGAAACTCAAATCTAAAATAACTTCCGAGGCTTTCCAAAAAAAAAAAATCTGTACTGGAAATATGATAAGTAGCAAAGTTGTACGCGTGAAGTCGACGCCGATATGGAATTCATGTGAGGCAAGAAGGTCGATAGACAATTGGGTTTTGCCAGTGTTGATACATCGAAATAGCTTAAGGGTAAGTATTACCGATACCGCCTTCTGCAGATATTGAGTGGTAGTCGACTCCACATGGAGAGAAAAAAATGGACCCGCAAGAAAAAAGTGCGTATTGAGGGCGGTGATGGAGTTCCGCATGAATTACGAGCAGACTGGATGCTACAGCTTGGCTACTAGACTCGCAAGCCAGTCGGTACGGTAACAGAGTTATTTGGTGATGTGTACTGTTTGTTGTGGTGAGCGGAGAGTGAAAGGAGAGTAGTTACCGTACCGACTGGTCTACACTGTCACGATTTTGGCAGGACCAGCGAAGTGTGACAACGGACTTAGAAAAAAAAACGATCTCACAAAGAGCTTTCCTCACATCACACTCTCTTCGGAACAATGTAGGTCGTCAAAACAATGTTTTTAATATATACTTGTAGTACTTCGGGAATTTATTGTCCAGTTGGCTCTAACGGGGTGTTGGGTGGTGTATCTTGAAAGAAACTAGCCAAGTGACTGCTCGACGATCCCCGATAGAAGGGAGTGTTGGGATAACAAGATACAATGGGAGTGTGAGGTTGTTGCCAGAGATATTGTTGGTGTGGTGTGTACACCAGATGAGCATAAGGATTCTGTTGCAATCGCGTTGGTATCGGCGTCGATGGCGTAGCTGAGTGCATAAATTGGTTCGGGGTACCTCGAGGTCGAGTTGCTGTTTGCGCGGCTGGGTTTGGCGCTGGTGCAGTGGCAGCCTGAGAAGTTGGCGCTGGTGTGGCACTGGCAGCTTGAGAAGTTGATGCCGTTGATGCTGACATCGTGGGTTTTCGTGCACGTTTTCCCCTCCCACCATCGTCCTCCAATCCGTCCTGCTCCTTCCTTTTTTTTGTGTTTAAGCCTGCTTTTCTTTTCTTCTTCACCATGTCAGGCATTTCGAGAGTATTCAAAAATGCAAGTAACTCAGCTCCGTATGTCGCATACCATTGCCATTGCCCAGCAAGTATCTTTTCAAGCTGACAGATTGAGGAAATAGGGCCAACAGACGAGAGCATCGTGATCGTCCCGTCTTTCATGATTGCACTGGGACCGAACATCGCGTGTGTGAAGTCACGCTCGTAAACTTGGGTACGCCATTTGTGCAATTCATGCTGCACGTACTGTGCTGGTTCGCCTTGCTTTGTCGCCGTTTGCCGCGCTTTTAGCGGAGGGGGTCCAGGTCGTGTTCGGTTTAGAAGGGATGGGTCGCAGAGATCGCAACATGGCACGGTAGGGTCTATTGTAGAACGGTAAGCCAGGTTTAGCTGTGCGAAACAGACTTACGATCAAGCGCGTTGTTGTAGATATGTGTCAACACTTTACGCCTGCACGACGTCGTCTGGATTAGCACATAGAGACCTTCATCCATACTGGTCGTATCAAGAGGAGGTTGCTGGACAACGGGTATGCTGTCCGTTTGTCCTCCAAATGCGCCTCGAAGAACGCCATGCGCAACCGCATATGCCTTCGATGCTTTTTTCTTTTGTGAGTCCTCGTTAATCTGCTTTTTCCTTTTGTCTCCCTTGGGATTGACAGCCTTTTCCTTAGATTTGAGTTCGGCCTCGACGTCCACCATATATGCCGATTTTTCAGCCAACAAAATGGCCAGCCCTTCATGGCCATCTGCACGGGCGGCGCGTCCCGCTCGCTGAACAAAGGTAGACACTGAGTCTGGAAGTTTCCATTGCACGACCACATCGATGTCTGGTATGTTACACCCCTGTAACGATATCAGCAGCCAGATTGTTCAACTAAAAAGTTCTTGTATACCATTCCAGCTGCATCGGTGCAGATTAATACCCGGACTTCACCGACATTGAAAAGATCCATAAGCTTGGCCCGATACTCATGGGAGAATGCTGCGCTGAAGGGTCTGATGAGGCCCTTGTCACGAAGATTCTCAGGTAAGAGCTCTGTTAGGTGATCCTCGATATCAATGCCCATTGACACACTGTCAGCGTAGATGAAAGTTTTCAGTATGTCTTTTGGGTCCGTAATGTCACCAGGTATGACGAAATCCAGGTCCGCATAGGTATTCATAGGGTGTTCAATCGCTCGAGTGACCAACGACACATTGGGGCGATCGTTGCCCACGTTAAGGTTGGTATATCCATCCTTCGGAAATTGCAGTTTGTTCAGTACATCTGTGTGTATCCGTGGCGGAAGGGTTGCTGATAATGCAACTATAGGTGTTCCTCGTGGTAGGAATGCCCGCACCATACCAAGCTCACCATATTTCTTTCGAAAGCCAGCACCCCATCGAGACACGACATGGGCCTCGTCAACCACAACAGAGACGACTCGCGACGTGAAGCTCTTTTTGCGCAACACGTCGTCTATAAATCTCTTTGACAACAACATTTCAGGTGAGATCAGCACTATCTGGTGCTTTCCCTCACTCACACGCTGATGACACATATCAGCGAGTTTCTTTACATGGATGAAGATAAGATATCCTACGGTAAGTGCTTCAGGCGTACATCCCCCATGACTGCTGTTAATAGCAATCGCGTCTAGCTTAAATTCATTCTTGAAGGTGTTGACCTGTAATCTATTATGTCAGTGCCTTTCTAATCTATTGCTTGACGAATACTTAACCTGTTCATTCTGTAATGCCAGCAGCGGGGAGACCATGATTGTTACCCGACCTTCCATCATTGGGAGGACATGTGGCCCCGCTGCTATAGCAGTCTTTCCGGCTCCTGTCCCCGCATGCACAATAACATCTTTGCCTAGCAGTTGTGCCTCAATAGCCTCGAGCTGAAAGGCCCTCAGCTTCCACCCAAATCGTTCCTCCAGTTTGGCCCCCAGACCCTCCAGGTCCTTGTGTGTTGGCCGTGGTTGAGTAGGTTTGTCAACTCCCCTCATTGCTGATCTGGGCTGACAGGTGGCTTTCTTTCTAGACATTTTAGAATGATGGGTACGATGATGAAGAGATAGTTTTCAATGTATCCACGTGATGAATATATCTTGCCTTTCGCCTTCACCTCTCCTCGAATTCGAGATGAATAGTGCCCAATCTAACTTTTCTCCAGCCTTATCATCAAGGAACTCAAAACACTCTCCTGACAGTCTATGGAACACACCACTGCCCCATCTCAACCTTTTTCAATCATACCCTCAAGTTGCAACTCTCGGCCTCAACAACTGCCCTTCTCCCCGAGGGTTACACCCCCCCACATTTGTTGTGTCGGATGCAGCACAAGATGAAGAGACGAATCAGTCATCTTCCCCTCTTTCCTCTGCACCTAGTTCCCCCATGAACACACCACGACGCCGAGCCATGTCATTGCCGCCATTATCAAGCCCCAGTGTAATCCAGAGCAGTCCAGTGGTTGGATCCAAGGAGGAGCGCCTTGCCATCAAGCGCAGAAAGAGTGCTAGAAAGCGGCAAATGACCCTTGCCACCTCGAAGGCCATCGCATTGGAAGTTGAGGAGGAATCGCAAAAGTCACGTCTCGAAAATGTTCTCCGATATCTTGAGAATCAGGATGTTAGCCTTGGCGAGGTGAATGAGTATGTTTTTGATCCACACAATGGGCAGGGCTCTCACCGATGGGATGGTTTTTTCCGCGAGCATGGTCGTGCCACACGAATCCTGAATTGGTGGGTAGCATCATCAAACAGCATGACTGCCTGGGGCGAGGTCCATGAATGGGCAGTCCAATATGTTGCCAATGCTGTTTCACGCGAGGCAGGTGCAATAACACGTCAAGGAATTCTGCGAAAACCAATTATCGACAATGGTTTTGTCGAAGATTTCAGTTTCGAGAACCTCTACCAGAGCCTTCGGAACCAATTTGCGACTGTAACCACCTGCATCTTTGAGTCTCTGGCCACATCATCCAGACAATTGGCTAGCGGTCTCACACCTGCAAGAATGGGCAAAAAGAGAATGGTAATTATCTTGAACCCAGATCATGACCTCAATGTACTTACGAGTTCTGATGTCATAGGTCATCACCTCATCGATTTTGGCGTGTCTTGGTGAATACAGTCTTTTCAACAATGTCACCAAGCGTATGATGGCCTTGTACCTCTACGCTACTGGCTCCCAACGACAGCCAATCACGGTTCTTTCGCATTTAGGCATTTCCGAAAGTTATGCCAATCTTGTCGCAAAGATACCTTCTGAGAGTGACAAGACATCTGCCTCTTCGGTCTCAGACTCAATGAAGCCCAAACGTATCCGGAAAGTAGCTGGAACACTCAAGCAACTGTCTGACTTTATGCGCCAGAAAGCCAGGGATGTCGCAGCAACAGGCTTGTATGGTGTCGTCTATGATAATATCAACTTCATGGCAAAGACTGCTGAGCAAATTATTGGACGCAAAGGTTTGTAATTTACAAATTGAGAATCCAAGATGGGTGTAACAACTAAAAGTACCTTCGTTTCAGATACACTGGAAAGTGGCACTTGTGCTACTATCTGGCCATTGCATGGTGCCACCTTAGACGATATGAGATTGTCCGATCTTCATGACTGGTGGCTACCACTTTTATCTATAACCTAGACTTAAGCCTAGAGAGTCATTTCTATAACTTAGACTTAAGCCTAGAGGCCATATCTATAATGCTTAGGATTTTTTGAAAGGCATTTCAAATGTAGGCCTGGGTATTTCATAGTGAATTTTCCATAGATACCCAGTGCATTTTCTGCGAAGTTTCAAATGCAGCCCTGGATATTTCATTGTGATTTTTCAATAGATACCCTTGGTATTTCATTGCGATTTTTCAATAGATACCCTGGGCATTTCATTGCGATTTTTCAAATGTATCCCTGGATATTTCATTGCAAAATTTCAATGGATACCTGGCGAATTTCATTGCGATTTTTCAATGGATACCCTGGGCATTTCATTGTGATTTTTCAAATGTATCCCTGGGTATTTCATTGCGATTTTTCAAATGTATTCCGGGGTATTTCATTACGATTTTTCAATAGATACCCTGGGCATTTCATTGCGATTTTTCAAATGTATCCCTTGGTATTTCATTGCGATTTTTCAAATGTATCCCTTGGTATTTCATTGCGATTTTTCAAATGTATTCCTGGGTATTTCATTGCAATTTTTCAATAGATACCCTGGGCATATCATTGCAATTTTTCAAATGTATCCCTGGATATTTCATTGCAAAATTTCAATGGATACCTGGCACATTTCATTGCGATTTTTCAATACATACCCTGGGTATTTCATTGCGATTTTTCAAAATGTATTCCTGGGCATTTCATTGTGATTTTTCAAATGTATCCCTGGGTATTTCATTGCGATTTTTCAAATGTATTCCTGGGTATTTCATTGCGATTTTTCAATAGATACCCTGGGCATATCATTGCGATTTTTCAAATGTATCCCTTGGTATTTCATTGCGATTTTTCAATAGATACCCTTGGTGTTTCATTGCGATTTTTCAAATGTATCCCTGGGTATTTCATTGCAAAATTTCAAATGTAGCCCTGGGCATTTCATTGCGATTTTTCAAATGTATTCCTGGGTATTTCATTGCGATTTTTCAATAGATACCCTGGGCATTTCATTGCGATTTTTCAAATGGAGCCCTGGGCATTTCATTGTGATTTTTCAATAGATACCCTTGGTATTTCATTGTGATTTTTCAAATGTATCCCACATGTCAGGGTCCATGCAATGGGCTTCCCTGGATGGTGCTCACATGACCAATTACCAAAAATGGTCAAAAAACGAAAGTTGTAGCCCTACACTGTAGCTTCCCGAATCTGTTTGAATTATGTTCTGAAGTGCTCCCGTTGTGGATATATGAGGTAAAGGAATTTCAAAAGCATCGCTTTTTTTTTTTTTTTGTGTTTTTCTCTATGAAAACAAAACCAAATAACATGATTTCAGTAAATTCAGAAAGCTAAAAGAAAGGGCTACAATTATTGTATCGTGGGAAAAATGACCAAAAAAGGAAGGTGCATCCTGTACTATAAGAATCAGATATAGACTACCAAGTTTACTGATAGACTACAAAAAAGTCGGACTTAGACTACACAGTTTACTGATACACTATAAAAGACTACAAAAGTCGAACTTAGACTACAAAAGCGTGGACTTAGACTACATAGTTAGGGTTAGAGTCAAAAGGTTATCTTGACTACAAAGTTTGTAGTGTGCGCTTTTTCATTAAAAAAGTTTGTAGTGTCCGCTTTTTGAGACTACAAAAGTTGTAGTGTTGCGCTTTTTCATTAAAAAAGTTTGTAGTGTCCGCTTTTTGAGACTACAAAAGTTGTAGTGTTGCGCTTTTTCATTAAAAAAGTTTGTAGTGTCCGCTTTTTGAGACTACAAAAGTTGTAGTGTTGCGCTTTTTCATTAGAAAAGTTTGTAGTGTCCGCTTTTTGAGACTACAAAAGTTTGTAGTGTT